ATCATTAATGGTCTACGATTTATACTACCTACACTGCGATTAATAGAACTAGATTAAAAAATATATGTTTTTACTATTGTTGTGCATGTGTACAACAATAGTAAAAACAATGTGCACAACTATATGCATGTGCACCTGCACGTGCGGTCGATTTATACAGTCGAAATAGGCGAATACCTGCGTAGGTAACTAGTAGCCTAATAGATAAAACTCCGGATAAAATATATTTGTTTGATCACATAGAAAATGTTGGGTACACGTAATTTCTTACTAGAAACTTCGACTTGGTATATGTTGGTCGATATCTGTGTAAAAGTTAACTCAAATTTGTATGGAGTTGAAACAGCGCCCCTAGCGGCAAACATAATTAAACGTTCCAACTCCATACAAATTTGAGTTGACTTTTACGCTATCGAGAACGTCAAAAAACTCGCACGGAGCACTCAGTTGATCCAAAACCCTGGCACATACACTTATGGCAAATGGTAAAAAAAAAGCGCGCCAAATATACCTAATCCTCATAATACATTTAGGAGTTTGTCGTCGCAATAAAACCACAAAAACGTACATTATATTTTATTTATCCTTAAAAATTAGTCTAAATCAGACAATTGTGGGCCAACTGATCCCATTGGCGTCCAGCATCAATTACTAAACGAAAAAAAAGGTTCTCCTTCAAAATAACTCTGTCAAAATAACGCACTGTTCACACCGGAAGGATTAAAAGATAATCATACAAAAGAAAAAGGAAAGAAAGGTTAACATGTAGATATGATTCTTTAAAGTTTCTCTTCGTCTTGGTTAGAACAGCAAGAATTATATTTGCATAATATCTTTTAGAACAGTTTATTTAAAAAAATCCTTTATTCTAGTATCTCAACATTGCCAGGGCAATGAATGAACGGTAGGATTATCTGTCAGCCCTTCAAACGACTCTGACTCGAAGTACTTCTAATACCACCTTAGATAATAAAAGGTACGGTGTCCTAAATTTACATGTTTATTTGAAATTTAAAACTAAGCCTCTGTATCAAATAACATATAGGCACCTATATGTTTGTTTCATGGTAATCTAACTCCGGCATTATTGTGGTGATCCCGTGTCATTAGACGCCATCGAGGTAGGTTCCCGCCATTTTCGGATAATTTTCGCGCTCCAGCTAGGGCTGTTAAATAAATTAAAATTAAATTTTAAAATCATATTAATTTAGTTTACGTGAAGAGAAGGCATTCTTCGATGTGATCTCTAATACGAGATGCATAGATTCACCGGCTAGAGGGCAAATTATGAGTTCACACGGGTAAATAGCACCCATGTGCCTATAATAGATATTACGGTCTCATACAATCCATACGTTCGTTTGAAGGGCAAGATAGCAATTTTACAATACAATTTAGACATCAACCTAATATCCCAGTCCTTTGTGATGTCTATAAGCTGCACTTTTAACGAAACGTAGTTTTAGCGGGTCGCGATTTCGTTCCGGTAGTTGATCCACTCGCGAATCAGCTACCATTTAAATAACGTAAGTAGACCTAATTAGAACAACCTAATTAACTTTATTACCAATTTTAGTAAAAAACAAAGCGAACAACCCTACGATAAATGATGACATCCAACTCTGGTATTGTTACTGGAACTGTAATTACCTTTGTGAGTTGATCCCGCTGCCCGGTAAACGTTGTTTAGTCGAGCTAGTCCTAGATTTAGTGGCTCACATTATATGACTTCTATTTACCTTCCTAAATTGTAATTTTGTGATATTTATATATAGACAGCACATTTGCATGAATTAACCTTTGTGTTGTCGATCTTTAAGTTTTAAAATGGTAATATTCAAAATCTGGTTACCAATTTTCGTTTCAGTGATACAGATTAAATCCAATTTCTAACTAATGATGGCAGTATTCTAAGCGGCAATATAAATGTAAATATATCAAGACATAAAATACCCGAAAAGGGAGGTTTTCTCGTTAAATATAATTGAATATTTATATCATAGTATTTCAGTACCTGTTAACTAGAAACAAGGACCTTACTGACATCTATTGTCTGTTGGCAATGTACTTTAAAATTGTAGTTTTAATGTTTATTGGCCCATTCCCCCATAATGGGCGATAGATGTCGCTCAAAAAAAAGAAGTTTTGTTTCAATTTTTTTCCCTGTTGAAAAATCAGCCGTACGTACTTGTGTACATTTATTAAATATTTTCTATGAAAGTTATGGATATTTTTATCGTTTTCAAATTGAAAAAAAATCTCAAATTATCACCTGAGTGTAACATGTCATTGTCAATTTCATAAGGTAAATGAAGTTAGCACCTCAAAAAATTTTTCTTTCCTGTTTTCTACTTATTTTCTATTAATTCGTTTTATAAATCCTGAAGGATCAATTAATTGGTATACAGTTTAATTAAAAAAAAAAAAAAAAAATTTAATAATGTGCATTCGCTTAAAGTTAGACCAAATACATTTTTTCCATCCTCTTACCTATCGTATTAAAATGTTATTTTACTAATGTTAGGAATATAATTTCGACTGTAAAAAAGTTATTATAATGTATACCTACATTATCTCTTGAAAGATAAATAATGAACATATTTACTTATTTGTTTATATTACCTATGTGAACTCCCTATCTTTTTTATACCTTCATAACGTTAAGTAGGAGGATGGAAAAAATGTATTTGGTCTAACTTAACGCCAATGCACATTATTTCATTTATTTATTTTTCATTTTTTTAATTAAACTGTATACCAATTAATTGCTCCTTCAGGATTTATATTTGTTTTTTTTTTCACGATTAAAACCGCGTAGAAAATTTAGGCATTATAGTTGACGCATGCGCAGTACACATATTTTGCATACATTTATTCAACTAATAAAAATAGTAAATTAAACAAAAAACGAGTAATTTCGAAAGAGAACAAACGTGTTTTATATAAGAACAATCGAAAATGAATATTTACGAGTCAATAAGGATGAAAAAATATAAAAAATTGCATTAGAGGGGCTAACTTGTAGGTATATTTTTAATTTTTTTTTTTAAATAAATAAATGCAGAACAAACAATTATTAACAGTGAACAATCATGAACAAATGATGAACAAACGAATTAATAGAAAATAAGTATAAAATAGGAAAAAAAAAATTTTTTGAGGGGCTAACTTCATTCACCTAATTTCATAAGTGTATATTATAGAATCTATAATCAATTTCTTAAAAAGTTTTTTTTTTTCACTTGGCCTTAGCCTCTAATCTATTGGCGGACTTTTTGGCGGGAACGCGAGGAGTGAAGTTGTGTGATTTGTTTTAATTTTTGTCTATTTAGTGTTTCTTCAAGTTTAATTGTATAATAACGGTGGTTTATTAACTGTTTAATATCTGTGAAAGTGCACAAATGTGCGAAAATGAAACAAAGCCGCTGGACTTAACTTCTCGGGATCCTCCAAAAAGTCCACTGAAAAAATCTCAGTAAATGACCACCGTTTTACTGAGATTATATTTCAACCCATATCATCTCATCTCATTTCATTTAATTTCATTCCAGTTGATTAATGTCTCAAATTAATCATTTCATTTCATTCATTCATTCATTCATTCATTCATTCATTTCATTTCATTGGGAAAATGAAATGAAATGAAGCATTCGTTAATTTTCATAGATGCCAAACGCTAATCTACCATGCCCATTCAAAACTGTAGAAACACTACCTACAAATAATAATGTTACGCATAAAATATTTTTTTCTAATTCAGTATCTTTTTCGTCATATTAATACATATAAACGGATCCTCAGGGTGGCGGCGACAATTGAGACAATTTACATCCACACGAAATAATATATTCTCTTTAGTACACGTTACGGTGGGTAGAATACGAATGCAATAGAGATATGCTAACCGCCGGTATTTATACAATCATCTTGACCTATTTTAATACAAACTTAGTAGGTAATATTAAACATTGTTCATCTTAATTATTCTGCTGATTATTTACGTACAATTATTATTTAATAATATCGAATTATGTAACATAAATAACATTAAGGCTTATTGCGCCGTACGGATTATTGCGCCGGAAGCTGTCAAGCGGAAGGCGCCAATAAAATATTATAAGTATAAAGAAATATGAATGAACTATTTACTTGATGAAACTACTAATTATATTATAAGACAATAATAAGTTCTATATATTTCCTATATTTCCTAAATTCGTAAATAATTAATTATGTGAGGCCGGAAGTGTTGCTCGAAAACATACATTTTATTTCTATTCTACTTTTTGTGTAAATTTTTATTTTTTTTATCGCTTAGATGAGTGGATGAGCTCACAGCCCACCTGGTGTTAAGTGGTTACTGGAGCCCATAGACATCTACAACGTAAATGCGCCACCCACCACATGGCTTCGGTAAAAGACAAGCAAGTAGATGAAACAATAAGACATTCCATGCTTCAGAATCCCAAACAGACAGATAGGGTGACGACTTAAAGATTGCGATACCTGAACTAAATCTAAAAAAAAAAATGGGAGCATCACCAAAAAATACGTCGATGTTTCAATACGCCAAACAAATACGAATTTTTGGAATGTATCGATTAGAAACATAAATATAATATTGTATTGTGTTTATTAAATAAATATGGTTAGGATAGTAAAAGAGAAAAACATTAATTTGAATCAAATCATTTTTTAGTTTTTTACTAAGATAGTTTTCAAATGTACGAAATTTATCTATTCGGAAACTGAGTGGGTAGTTTTCAACTATTCCAATGAAGGCAATCAAACGCTGAAAGAATGCGGTTTTGGCATTGTAATCTAATTTGTAATGAAACATTTATTTCTAAATGATGCGATGAATCGAGTAATGAGATTTGTGGCATTCAAAGCATCGATTGAAAGTAAATCGACAACCCTATTGTAGACATTAGGTCCATAGATTATACACATTAGATAAGTGTATAATCTATGCATTAGATCATAGATAATACACGACGTTTGGTGTTTACTTACAATCAAAACAAAATAAATTAAAATTATTCTTATTTAATAACCTAAACGGATAATGATTGGTGTTAAAATGAATACATTTAACGACAATTCGGCGGAGCCTGAACAAGATGCAAATTCAGCATTGACCGAGCTTGATAAAGGTAAATATAACCTCTATAATACCTACAAACCTTTTATTTACAAAACAAAATAAAAAATGTTTTTTTCTCCAGGTCTACGGTCGTGTAAAGTAGGAGAACAATGTGAAGCCATCGTCCGGTTCCCTCGTCTTTTCGAAAAATATCCTTTCCCCATATTAATTAATTCATCTTTTCTTAAATTGTCTGACGTTTTTCGTATGGGTAACAATTTTTTGAGGCTCTGGGTTTTGAGAGTCTGTCAACAAAGCGAAAAGCATCTAGATAAGATTCTGAACGTAGATGAGTTCTTGAGGAGGATCTTTAGTGTTCTACACTCAAACGATCCGGTGGCTAGGGCTCTCGCTCTGAGAACGCTTGGTGCAGTAGCAGGTATTATCCCAGAGCGCCAGAATGTACATCACGCAATCCGAAGGGGCTTGGATAGCCATGACAATGTTGAAGTTGATGCTGCTATATATGCTACTACTAGATTTGCTGCCCACTCCAAGTAAGTGTCGTCATAAGCTCAAAAACTGTAATTGATGCAAAAATCCATTCTTTTAACCACAATAGGTACTTAATAAAAATGTATCCAATGCATCCAAACTGTAACTAGGTATTACTAATTACCAGAAGTATAAACCGCTTATTTAATTATCTCTCAAACTTTCAAATGCATATTTTGTACTTGTATTTTTTCTTATTGTGATGTGTTTTAGTTCATTCGCAGTAGCCATGTGCAATAAACTATCAGATATGGTGGAAAGTGAGGGCACTGCTGCTGAGAGACGAGCAAAACTTGTCAGAGCCCTGAGGACCGTTCATGGTGGAGGTAATCAGGAATTTTACTAGTTACCTACCTTTATTCAAATTAATTTCTTTATTCTTAAACATCTATATAAAAATAAAGTTGATAAACCAACCGCCTAATAAGTAATTTAGAATTACCCTTAACCCTTTTTTTTGTTTTCTAGCAATCAGAGCACAAGGAGTTTTGAAATTATTAAGATCATTGTTAGACAAGTTTCCTTCGTCAAGTTCGGTGCGAGCTTCAATCACTGCACTCACACATATAGCTTCAGATACAGTGGTTCATGTTCCTGATCAGGTGAGAATAATTCATTAAATGTTTATAAAAAGCTACTGCAGAAGCACAAAGTGAAGCCCTGATCAGACGTGGTTACCATAACTTATAGGCTTAGCAATGTTTATTGTAGTATCAAATAACTGCTTAAGGAGTAATTAAGTAAAATTTAAAGCTCATAAGAAGGAAATGCATTCATAGAGCTCAGAACACAGTCAAGCTTATTACTTCATTATAATATTACTATGTGTATTAAAAACTTCAGTGCTTTTAATTTTATAGGTTGAACTACTGCTAAATATAGCCATGAATGATGCCCGATCAGCCGTACGTCGTTCCGCACTGCTTGGCCTCAAGAAGTTGGCTGAGAATGCAGCTCTCTGGCCCGCACACTGTATACAGAACCTGGTCAGAGCTGCTAGCGATAGTCGAGACACTGACCACACTATGCTGTGCCTTCGAGTAATGCAGGTAATTCTTTTATTTAGCATTTGTGGGCACTCTTTCTACCTTGAGAAATTATTACTAAAGTTTATAATCAATGCTGCCTATAATTGCTACCACTCTTTTTTGGAAGTGAGACTGAAGTCCTGATATGCCTTTTGAAGTCAAACACTTTGCTGGTTGATGTGAAATATTATCATGACAACTGAAATTGGCCTGATCCAGGCCCAGAACATGCCTTTGCACTCAAAAAATTAAGTACATTTTATCGGAGGATGTTGAATCCATGGATGTTTGAGGCATGGTGATTGGTAGGGGATGACAGTGTCATCTTAAATTGTAATTGTAAATGTGGAGTAAAATTTACGAATTCCAATAATGCTCAATAATGAAAACATAGTCACAGATCATATTTTATAGAAATGATAGATAATATACAACTAGTACCGGCAAGGTTAATGACTCATTTGCAGGGCATTACCACTAAACTTTTTTGTTTTGCAAGTTATTTTCAACAATAAGATATCTCACTGTGCTTTATTTAATTGAAAAAAGGACTCACTTAAAAATATTAATTATAATTGGTAAAATGCATGTTTTTATTCAAGGAGATTACATGACAATTTATCCTTCTAGATTCTGGTGCAGTGCCCAGCAGTGTGCGCCACGGCAGGGTGTCCTCAGCGCGGCGAGTACAGTGCCCTGAGGCAGTACTGCAGTGAAGCCGCTCTCAGTGCTGACTTGAAGCAAGCCGCAACCGCTGCAGATGTCCTCACCAGGATCGTTGTTCATTGGTGACTATTCATAATTTTTTTTATTGCTTTAAATCGGTGAACGAGCTCACGGCCCACCTGGTACTAAGTAGTTACCGGGGCCCATAGACATCTACAACGTAAATGCAACGGAATTCTATGGTCTCATTTTTACAATACAACAGCTGGCCCGCCTCAAGCCGAAACGCATGACTGCTTCACGACAGAAATAAGCGGGGTGGTGGTACCTACCCATGTGGACTTACAAGACATCCTGCCACCTGTCAAAATGTAATGACTAGCATCTTCCAGGGCATCTCTTAGGCTCTATACTTTTAACTGTCCCATAAAAAAAAATTTATAAATAAACTTGTAATTGAAAATTTGGTTGCACTTGAAGAAGCTATAAGTATTTTATATCAATGCGTGAACAAATAAAGCACTAGTTTTTAAAGGCCCTTTTTGTTATCAGGCAACATTTACATATTACCATTCTATAAAAAAAAAAGCTAACGGGTGATGTAGCAATGTATCTTACTTTAGAAATTTTGGTATTAAAATATATCTTTGCTACAAGCTTTTGTATTTCACATGGACTTGTGTAACATAACAAACAAATGCTAACAGCACACACCGTGTCAGGCTGTCTGTTAGCATTCAGCATTTTTTAATATGTCTTGTAGCTATGAAGAATGTCTTCCGGTGGAAGGTTCAGATCTGATGTTGGCTCTGGAGTCCCTGGTGATAGCGGCAGGGGCTGATAATGGGCAGAATATAAAGTCACTCAGGGTTGCGCTTAGGTGTTTGGTAAGTCATAAATGAGAAAGAAAGGTGTTCGACAATTATATCTCTGGCTATATACGCCCCCTTCAACTCTACATCACGATCACGATCATTCTGTCAAGAGTGACACGATTGAGAAGTAGAATATTGATTCAGCTGTAGATAACTTTTTTTTAAATACCCTCGAAAAATTGAAATTTCCTCTAACACACATTAATGTTAAAAGATTTAAAGAAGTTATAAAAAAAAGCAAAGACAAAGTTTATTTTTCTTTAATACATAATTTTTTTTTAATCCTCATTAAAAAATTCACAACCTACCCTTGAGTGATCAGTGGTCAGATTACAATCATAATTGTCTGTATTAACTTCATCCACACGATATATTAAAAACAACCTGAACACAAACGTGGATTGGTTAAGTTGATTGAGACATAATAGTCACGAGGTCAAGACAAAACTTGAACGGTAACCCATTGCCAGGTCCAGCTGAGCACTGCAGAACCCACAGTTTACGCTCCACGGACGGCGTCGGTGCTTGCTGGACAACTGGCTACCAGTAGCTGGGCCAGCCCTGGCCCGAGGGAGGCCTCGATCCTGGAAGCCCTGGGCGCGTTAGGTGGTGGAACCTACTGTCCCATGTCGGTGGCACCAGCGCTGCCCGCACTGCATCAAGCGCTGGAAGCCATGCAGAGGTAAACAAAATACTTAAATTTCAATTCAAACCCTTCAATTAGTCGTGACTTTTCAAATAGAATGCGTGAAATTAACAAGTACAATTCACAAATGTAGATTAAATAAATAAAAAGTAAAAGATCTCAATTTTTTTTTTTTTTTGTATCTGTCAAAAATGTTTTTTTACTGCTTAGATGGGTGGACGATTTCACAGCCCACCTGGTGTTAAGTGGTTACTGGAGCCCATAGACATCTACAACGTAAATGCGCCACCCATCTTGAGATATAAGTTCTAAGGTCTCAGTATAGTTACAACGGCTGCCCCACCCTTCAAACCGAAACGCATTATTGCTTCGCGGCAGAAACAGGCGGGGCGGTGGTACCTACCCATAAGGACTCACAAGAGGTCCTACCACCAGTAAAAACTACTGACCGATTAGACGGCACTAAGAGAAAGAAAACTTTCTGTTTGAACAAATCTGTTTAATACGTCACTACATTATCAATAAATACGTAAAGATATTGAGTTGTTTATATTGCTGCTGAAAAATCAGTACTCTGTTCGGTGTGCGATGACGTCCAGCTCTAGGCCCCAATTCGATACATTTATTCAGAGTATTTTACGCCAAAAAGAAAAGCAAGAGTACGCTACAAACACGTGTAAATATAATGTGGCCATTTTTGATTCAATAATGAACTACGCATTAATAATCTGGTTGCAATTGGCGATTAAAATCTGACGGTATTTTGTCACGGAGCTTCGAACGGCTGTCGCTGTGTTGACAAATACACGTTATTCCTTGCAGAGAAAATGCGATAGCAAATCCGTCAGACGAAGGCAACGCTCTGGTGCTTCTCTGCACGGTGCTTTTCCAAGAACGGGCCGGGAAAGCGTTGACCTTTACCATCAGCAACGACTGGTGCACGAAGATCTTGGACGCGGTCCAAGTGGCTGACGGTTGGGTGCGATACAGAGTCGCCAGGGCCGCCTTGAGGTGAGAGCATAATATGGTCTGTTGATGTAGACCTTGAAACAGAATAACTTAACAGTCGTCCTTACATTTTCATCACGTATAATTAGATCAGTTATTTTTTTTACAAGTCAATGTCGGTTAGCATATTGTAAAACAAACAGTAAAAAATATATAATATTCTTGTGCCATACTTAAAAAAAAACTGTTACAAAATATAGATTATAAAATAGCTTGTTCGCGACATGGTTAAAATCAAATTAAAAATTCGTCGCTTTTGTTTCACTGCGAATGATAGATTTCATTAAAAAAATATATTCAACAACGCGTTGCTCTGTCAACAGTGCCTGACAGTGTAGGATTACAAAATGGCGCATAAAATATTTTGTAGTCCTACCCTGTCAACTGTAATTTTTTTTATATTTTTTTGTAATTCCCAACAATTAACCTCACAGGAGACGGCAAATTTAAATCAAGCGTAATTTTGAGGATACCTTTTATAGCTAAGCATGGCAAAGGCGTTATTGGTACTATTTGACTAAAACAAATTTGAATTTATGTTATCTGCTTAAGGTTGATTTTGGTTCGAGCAAACAGCACGAATAAAGTGTGCTTATAGTTTGCAGTACATATTGCTTAGTGCGAGTTTTTTAAGGTTCTCGATAGCGTAAAAGTTAACTCAAATTTGTATTGAGTTGAACAGTGCCCCTAGCGGCAAACGAGAAGTTCAAAAACACGCACGAAGCACAGAGGTGAATCGGAAATACGTATCGAGCCAGAGGTCTTGTGAATTGCTCTTGAGTTGTTAGGTCTCCTTCGGAGGCGCTCGGACAGCTGTTAGCAAAACCCACTCCTCCTGGCTAAGCCTTTACTCGCCCACATGTCCTGGTGAAACTGGAAAGGCCTCTGGGCCACCAGTAATCTTTCAATCATAAAAAAGGCCTTGTGATATCACTATCTTGCGTGTTTCTATCGCATAACAATCGATGAAGACTGCCTTAAATTACTTTAACTCCTCCCGCAACCTCATGGGATGACACGCTCAAGATGTTTGTTCCGAAGGTACGGGCATCACCACCTGGCCGCGGAGCTGCTGGTCCGGCTGGCGGCGCAGGCCCCCAGCGAGGCGGCTCAGCGCTGGCTGGCGGCGCTGCACCGGGCCGCCGCCGCCGACGCCAAGCTCGCCATCGACGGTAACGAGCTTATGTATAATATCCGTACACGCAGACAACTAGCGGACTAAATTAGCAAGGAGTCTACGTGAAATTCATATATATGTATATATATTACATTTGTGTATATCCATTCAGATTTTTAACTGTATCGTTAAACAAGATGTACCGAGTAACGTCATCTATCGCCGTACAGCCGAAACGAATATTAAAGGATATACTAACATCTAGAACGTTCGAGAAGTACAACGCCATCTATTGTCAGATAGCGGAAACACACATCGAAAATACTCGATTTGTGAGGAATGTTCTCGACATCTCTAGAATTGTCAACTGTCAATTAAATTTAAAAAACAACGATACTTGAGACGCGTTTCTCAGGGATGTAAAGAATTATATAGAGGTTTTAAAGATGGTATGTAAGTGTCTAATAAGATATATTGGCCTCTCCTTTTTTAGACGGTATGTAGGTTTCTGTAGAGTATACTCCGCAAGTATTTCATATGTTATTCAAAAGTAGCCGCGTGTTCACACGTCCACCAGCCCCGCGGTACGTGCTCGGGCACGCTGCGAGCCAACACGATTAGGTACAGTGACTCCTGATCCGGCAGTAAACACCGTCTTGCTTTCTGTCTCGAAACTGTCTCTCTTGGATAGTACAGTACAATCGAGATTACAACCTCATGACTTTAGGCTTTTTTTGGGTTGTCGTGCACAGGTATCTCGGGGCTGGAGGAGGCGGCGGCGGGGTGGGAGGTGGCGGGCGGGTGGGGCGGCGCGGGAGGTGCGGGGGGCGCGTGGTGCGCAGCGGGGTGCGCGGGGTGTGCGTGCTGCGCGCCGCTGCCGGCCGCGTGGCTGCGAGCGCGGGCGGCGGCATTGCTGGCCCTGGCCCGCGCGGCCGCCGCGGCGCGTGCTCTTTGCTCGCAGCCGCCACCAGCCATCGCGCAAACCATAGCCCAGGTGACCTGCTCTGACGCTATCAGCTCCTGCCTCTTTCATGCCGCAGGCGGAGCCTTATAGCTAGTGCTGTTTGTATATGTTCCTCAGCTAAGTATATACCTGACGTGTATTTACGAATGATTTCCGCAAGAAATAGTCGATGAATATTTTAAAATGTTTTTACCATCGCACCGCCCGCCACCGGAGTAGAGTTCATCCATACTACCTGGAGCCACTGCGGTCATCCACAGTGCGTTTCCAGGGGTCTTTTTGCCACGCACCATCCGACTATAGATTGAGCTCCCCTCCACGGTGTTTCCCGACCGCTATGACATGTCCTTCTTCAAACGAGGCTTGTGGAGAGTATTAAGCGGTGGGCAACGGCTTGGCTCTACCCCTTGCATTGATGAAGTCCATGGGCGACGGTAACCATTCACCATCAGGTGGACCGTGTGCTCATCTGCCAACAAGGGTAATAAAAAAAAAATCGAATACCTGACACTGTCAAACATACAAAACTATACATAATTAACAATTGGAACTTTGACCTCATATCTCAATGATGTCAGGCGGGGCGCGACCCCGCGCTGGCGGCGGGCGCGAGTGCGGGCGCGCTGCGGGGCGCGGCGCGGGCGCTGGGCGCGGTGGCGCGGCGCTACGCCGACATGGCGCGTACCGCCTTCCACGCCGACGACTCTACGCTCAGACACTTGCAGATGTATCCTTTGCCACATATGCATACGAGTACACACACACATTCTCAAACATAGCGTACACACTCGTATATGACTATCGTATGGGTATCTTATTAACACAGTAACGGAATTTAGGAACAATCTGAAAATAATCTAGAAGACATTAACAGTCTCCGTTTCCTTAGTCACAATTGGATAAACGCTGACTAGACACATTGTGGGTGTCTTCCTCTCTCTCTCTCTCTCTCATATCTGTTTTTTTCTGGTTAATGGATGGGGGGTTCCATTACTGAACTCTGGTAAACCTTGATTTAACTAAGATGTGTAGTGTAGGTAAATAACGTATACCATATTAATAATAATAATAATAAATTGAGATGGGCGGATCGGAAAATCAATAAAAGTTACTGAGTTGGTCAAAATACAAAATTACGTGAAGACACTGTTGCCACAAGCGTCACGCGAAAGTACACCGTATTATTCACGCGTTAATGAACATTTCTAATCGTCTTTAATTCCGCGGAGTGTCCTATTACTGTCTGCCGTTACGCGTTCTCGTACCTCCTACTGCAATAAGACCCTGAGCCGGCGCACCAGCTCGCAGCACACGTACACGCAGCTGTCGCAGCTGCTGGACTCCATCGCCAGCAGCCAGCCGGAGCGCGAGCTCACGCTGCCGGAGCCGCGGGCCACCAGCCTGGACGAGGCCGTGGCGCTGTCTCCCAGCAAGGCCATCGCGGCCATAGCCAGCAAGCTTGCCGAATTTCCCATGACCACGCCCGGGATCACACACAGGGTACGCACTTGGATACTGTGTCTTGAACATTTGCGAACACTCCTGGGTGGCCCCAGCATTGAGGGTTTTGTATCGTTTGCTGCTGCTGGGCTGATGTGGGTTCGGTCCCCACCTCAAGCGACCTGTTTTTTTGTCTGGGCGTTTAATATCATATCAATTTATTTTAATGTATATTTGTATATCTCTGAGTCACATATGAATAATTCATCACCACAACTAGTTTACTGAATACAATTACACATACATAAATTAAATTACGGACTTTACTGGTGTTAGGACGTCTTGTGAGTGCGCACGGGTAGGTACCACCATCCTGCCTATTTCTCTTACAAAGCGGCTGCGCTATGTTCGAAGAAAGGATTAGCTAATACCCGTATACGCATATGTTGGTAGATATAGACACGTCCTTACGGATCCATCAGATCCCATAACCTTTATATTAGATGCCTTCAGCTCTAACACTAGGAGCATGCTTAGAGACCCCGGTAACCGTACTCGTCGAACTCGAGAAAGAAGTCGACGTGCAACCTAACCCATGCATCAGTCCGCTGAGTTTCTCGCCGGATCTTCTAAGCGAGTCGCTATTCCGATCCGGTAGTAGATTCATTCGCGAAGCAGCTGCTCTTGAGATCTTAGATCTCCTTCGGAGGTGCTCGGGCAGCTGTTAGCAAATCCCACCCCTCCTGGCTGAGCCTTTGCTCGCCCACCTGTCCTGATGAAACTGGAAAGGCCTCAGGGCCACCAGTAGTACTTCAATCATAAAAAAAAAAGTATACTAAGGCACTGCTCTTGCTAGAGGCAGTGTTGACAACCTATCTCAGGGTGAACCTCGTGAGCACGGCTGCCAGTCGAAGGTGAAACCAGAAGCTACTGGCAGATGTGTTGGCACGGTTATAATTGTATACATGAGTTAATGAAGGGATATGACACAATTTATTCATTTTGAGTAAACGGGCAAAAAACTTTTGTTACTTGTACTTTTTCTTCGTACCTAACTTCTTCATCACATGCAATGTCTAAAAATAGCCTTTAAACCCAGAGTTTTAAGGTCTAATATGGTTTATAGGCACAGAACACCTCGTTCAATGTAAAAACTTAAAAATCTTAAAAATTGTACTTAACCCCTTCATCCATTCATGTCTTCAATTGCAATCGTCAAGTCGGGACGTATCCCTGGGCGCCATTACGTCACTTACCTTTTGTTTCTTTCTTACCTAAGCTGATAGCTCCTTAACGTATAGGTGGGCTCACGGGGCTCAAACTGGGAGTGTTGCTAACTCAGAGAAACTCAGTAGGCTGTGTCTGTGGGTTAATTTACTCATAGAGCCCTTCGTCGCAAGCGACGGGTTCGACGAGGACGGTGACCGGTGCTTGTGGTACCTAAAAGCACCGTTAGTGGATCGGGAGGATCCGAAATGATAACTGATCGAGGCGAGTGTGCAGCACGCGGAGGCGGTAGTGTGCGCGGTGCGCGCGGCGGGCGCGGGCGCGGTGTGGTCCCGGGGTGCGTGGTCGGGGCGCGGCACGGGTGCCGTGTGCCGCGTGTCCGTGTCGCCGGCGTGGCGGCCCGCGCCCGCGGACCACGCCGCCGCGCTGCCGCTGTCCCACCGCCTGGCGCTCAAACTGGAGGGCGTCATACTGCCTGCGCGCCCGCTCGCGTGAGTCCCCGCATATCTACATAAGGGGTGCGTTCCACTAAGCGTTCACAACAATCACGCTCACGACCGCAATTTTTCCCGTTCCACTTGCTTGTGAGCGTTACTGTAGTAAACTCAAATGGAATGGATTATAGAGCGTTTTGAGCGTGGAGGTAAATAATACAAACGGCGAGTTAATAAAAAGAGCTAAGAGGTTAGGTTATAATCTGTAAGCCTTGAAAATAAACTTAATTAATTATTGTTTAAATCGATTTATATTGAAAAAAATTATAATTGAATTTTTGATATTTAATATTAGTGGTGTATTTAATTAATTTACGTTCAAATGTAATTAAAATGTCTTTTGCGGCGGCACTTGGATATTTGGTAAGAGGTCGCAATAATGCTCCAGATTACTATCTTATCTTTCCGCATGAAATAACGTAAGGTTGCCATTTTTGATGCTTTGAGTTTTGAAAACGCCGCTAATTTTCTCAACGACCCACCTTTTTAGATGGGTCGTCGTGAACTTCGCGTGAGCGTAAGTCATGACGTCATAAGTGACGTTTTCGCGGCGACCACAACGACCGCGATCGTTATGGTGGAACGAAGAGCATTTTGATCGTTGTGAACGCTTATAACGCACCCATAAACACAAGTGGGGGGGGGGATCCTGAACGTAAACATACAGATAAAATATGTAACTAACTGTACGACTTGTTCCCGCGTTTAGTAAATCGTCACTGTCAAACCAAAATCTGCTATGTACAAAAACTATTTTGAATTAACGAGTAATGGCATTTTCGTATAAAATTTTATATGAAGGTGAATTATTAAGAACTATATGAAATGAAAGCTATCGACACATAACGGTTTTTTTTATACGGTAGATAGGGCCGTGAACTATACGAAAAGTTCAAAAAGTAAAAATCTCTAAAAGTTCACATAGCAGATTTTGGTTTGACAACGACGATATGTCACATGTTCGTTCACGCGTTTAGAACACTCACAGTAATGTAGTGACATTAACAAATAATTCAATGTTAACAATAATGCGAGAATAAATAGTAAAAATGGTTTCAATTATGTCAACGTCTAGCAAAAACCACAGGCAATCCTAGGAGCAGGCGGCTTGCAGCGTATTTATTTATTTATCTGTCTGTTTGTTTGCTTGCTGACACCCCCGAAACTACTGAACGTGTTTGCTTTTTTTTATTACCCCTGTAGGAAGACGAATTTACTGGTGGTAGAACGTCTTGTGAGTTCGCGCGGGTAGGTACCACCACCCTGCCTATTTCTGCAGTGAAGCAGTAATGCGTTTCGGTATGAAGGGTAGAGCAGCCATTGTAACCATGCTGAGACCTTTGAACTTATATCTCAAGGTGGGTGGCTCATTTACATAGTAGATACCTATGGGCTTCGGTAACCACTTAACACCAGGTGAGCTGTGCGCTCATCCACCCATCTAAAATTTTACTCCATTCAAATAGCTGAAAAAGTTTTTATGCCGTGCTTTTTTTCCAAAATTTAAACATTAAATGGTTCTCCTGTAAAGTTGCAAGAATGTCCCTTAAACCAAATAGCTGTTTACCCGTCGATATGTATCTCACAGCAAACGCCAGCAGCAGCGGCAAGTTAAAGGTGTCCAAATCACGGTGACCGCCACCCAGCATCCGAGGACCAACGAGAAGGTACTGATTACATTGTTATACCACGAATTAATTCCTAAGGTCCACTCGGATAGAGGCTCTACTGAGGTCTTCGAGCATTGTAGATCTCCTAAGGTCTCAGCCATAATTACAATATCGTCGACAACCCGAAGGGGAGTTGTATGTTGATGCCTAGCCCGTTCCAGTCCAGAACTTTGAAAGCATCCTCCAATGCGGCGGTAAATGGCTTCGGAGAAATAACATCTCTCTGCCTCTCCGCTGCAGAAGGATGGGTTCCAATGCCCGGTCCTGTAATCGAACTGACATAGTAGCGTTTTCATACAAACACTTCAACACTTCGATATACCGATAATCAATTTGGCACCGTTGGAGAGACTGCAACGCGACCCAGGTCTTAATCGAATCAAAGGCTTTCTCGTAGTCCACAAATGCTAAGCGTAGCGTGGATCCGGTCATCGTTCTCGTTGAACCCGTCGCTTGCGACGAAGGGCTCGACGAGTAAATTAACCCACAGACACAGCCCACTGAGTTTCTCGCCGGATCTTCTGTGGGTCGCGTTTCCGATCCGGTGGTATATTCTGCGAAGCACGGCTCTTGCTAAGGTTCGTGCTAGCAACAATGTCAGGTTTGAGCCCCGTGAGCTCACCTACTAGCCCAGTGACGCTGATATGGTCTCTCAAGACCATCAGCTTAGGTATGAAAAAAAGCGTGGATAGGTCTCCCACAAGCTGGACCGAGGAGCTATTGAGGTTCTCGGGGTTCCGTTGGAAGCAAGCAGGGCATAACCAGTCGTTGTGGTGAGGCTTGGTGGAGGCCTCTGTCCAGCAGTGGACGTCTGTGGGCTGATAGTAGTAATTCCTAAGGAAGTGTATGTATTACGGTTCAGCTTACTGGGACGCGCTTTGTGCCTTCATGAAGAGGTACTGTTACGAGGTGGATCCAGGAGCTCTTTAAAAAGAATAGGAAACTGTGACTGACACTCAATTTATTTTATAAAAGAAATAGTACAAACGATGTGTGTTTCCGCTACTCGAGCTAATTAATTCTGTTCTGCGGCGTTTTAAGAATAAATCGTCTTTATATAATGACGATGCATTCAGGAATGTCTTAGTCTGCATTATTATTGAGGGGCATATTAGGTAACAGTACCACCGTACTGCCCATTTCTATCGTGAAGCAGTTGAGACTTCGAGCTCACGTCTCCGGCGCCTCCCCCCGCACCTCGCTTCCGTCCCCTCACCATCCCCGTCGTCCGCAGACGGTGGAGCTAACCAACGTGCCGCCGGTGCTGACCGCGGTGCAGACGGTCGCACCCGTCCGGGACTTCTTCTCCGCCCAGCAGCTGGTCAGCGTGCCCAGCCCGGGACTGTACACGGTGGCCGTGGAGTCGGCCTTCGTGGACGAGCGCGGCCAGCTGTGGAACACCGGCCCCAGGACTTCGATTGTCATCAAGGTAAATGAATGACGCGTAGGAACTGAACGAGACTTCAGAAAAGTTGCTGTTTTTAATATAGTGTTTATTTGAGGGAGAAAGCTCCGTCTGTTCTCAAGGATATTGTAAAAGACGACCTAAGGATCCGCCTGAGAATGTATAACACAAGTGTGGTATACTGAGACCTTAGAACTTATATCTTAAGGTGGGTGGCGCATTTACGTTATAGATGTCTATGGGCTCCAGTAACCACTTAACATCAGGTGGGCTGTGAGCTCGTCGGCCCATCTAAGCAATAAAAAAAAATTACTGGAGGTATTCTAGTGGATATTTTTTACAGTAGCAAAATGCGTTCCAGTTTGAAGGGTGGGGCAGCGGTTGTACTGTAGAACTGAGACTTGGTATAACGGTAGGCAGCTGCTTGGTTCTGCCCCTGGCGTTGCTGAAGTCTATGGGCGACGGTAATCACTCACCATTAGGTGGGCAGTACGCTCGCCTACAAGGGTAATAAAAATGTACGTAGACTAATTAAATCGAACTGTTTCCAGGCTCACGACGATCCGAGTCCGAAGGTGTCCAATTCGCACAACAGCAGAGGAAGGTTTTGATCCTGAGATTTTGCTTATGTTCTTTTAACAATATCACGATAAGGAAAGTTAATATTAATAAAGGCGATTAAAACTTTGTATGGTTTTATTTAATTGATTTGTCAATAGACATCACAAGAGCACAGAGTGCCATACCTATCCTCTATTCCTCCTCCCCAGGAGCGTTAAACTTTTAATTAAGTCGCATTAGAAGTTTCACTTCAATAAAACATTGATAAAAACGAAGCCTCGATCTAGAGCGGCGACAACAATGAGCAGTGCTCTCGATCCAGACCTGACACTGATTACACTATCGCAGTGGAATGACCAAAAATTGCGACGCATTGCCGATAACGGCGGCGGTGAGTGCGCGGCGCCCCGCACGCCACAGTGCGCGCCCGGCCGTCGCCGCCACGAAATGTTACCGATTTTCATTTTACTATACGTCTCATCCGCCAATTCCCTCTGCGATGGCACGTGCTTCTGTAACTATAAACACGCAGATCAAGACTACATGGGCGAAACAGTCGACTGCTCCCACAGAAACGTGGACGCTAAGGTCAATTTAACGTTACCCAAAACGATATATTCATTAGATTTGTCATACAATAATATAAAATCGATAGATTCATCAATTATATTCGATTCATCAACTATGGTCGAGCTGTATCTGAATCGCAATCATATCGTCGATCTAAACTGTTCCTTGGCGTTACCTTCGTTGAAGAAATTGGACTTAAGCGATAATTCAATTAGCAAAATCGACGGACATGTTTTCGATAAAATTAAGAATCTGGAATATTTAAATTTGGCCAACAACAAATTTACGTCTCTTGATAAATTGACTTTTCATCGATTGACGAATTTGAAGGAAATCGTTTTAGACAACAACGACATAGGCGAGGAGCTACGACGAGTTAATTTGTTCGACAGAAGCGGCTTGGGTTTGACCGCGAAGATCAGGTCGCTCAGCATTCGCGGCGTGAAGTTAAATCGAGTGCCAAACAACTTCTTTGTCGACGCCTACGATCTTAGAAAACTCGTTATATCAAACAACAATATAACTGACGTTTTCGAATTTCCATTCACTTTAGAGTACTTAGATATCTCAGATAACCCCATTGAAATTATATCCAGTGAAGACTTCGCAGATCTAGCCGGATTGAAAGTACTCAAACTCAATAATTTGAAAATTACCGAAATATCCGGCTACATGTTCGAACCATTACATTCTTTGACGTCTTTAGAGCTGGAACGGAACATGAATCTGACGAAATTCGATGCGTTTGCTTTCGGTAAAGAAGTCCTAGAAGACGCCGACTATTTCAATTTGGAAGAGTTGTCCGTGCGAGGGTCGAGATTAACCACACTGGACAAGAGATTGATGGAGCCATTTGGAAGACTCATAAAGCTAGACTTACAAGGAAACACTTGGTCGTGTGACTGTAAATTATATTGGATCAAACAATTGCAAATACCTGAAGAATACAGAGACCATGTGAGGTGAGTTGGACACACAGAACAAGGAGGATGTCAGGGAACAGTTTTTTTTTATTGCCCTTGCAGGCTTACGAGCCCACATGATGGTGAGTGGTTACCGTCGCCCATGGTCGCCAGCAATACCGGAGGCAGAGCCAAGCTGCTGCCTACCGTTAAGTACTCTCCACAAGCCCCGTTTGAAGAAGGACATGTCATGTCGCTCGGGAAACACCATGAAGTTTGCGTTAAATTAAATTATATTGCGTCAGAGTCCATAGAAATTACAATCTGAATGACCCAAATAACATTGAGACATGGCATCCAAATTTAACTGTTTGCATATCGGCATTCTCGTCCTTCAAGCTATAATGTTCGGGGCAGACAAATATTAATGGGACCATACAAAAAAGCCGTATGCACCCACAACACAAAAAAAAACTGCAGAGTTAGAAAAATAAAGCAAAGAAAGTCTACCTTCCGCGGTTAATAGAGAAATACTAGTATAGAAGTATACGCGGGATCACGACACGCCCCGTCGCCATTGAGACTTCGTGTTTACACTCAAATATATTATAGACTAGCTGTGCCCGCCACTTCGTCCGCGTGGAATTTAACAAAACAATATTTTATTTGAATATAATTTCAGATTTTTTCTAAGATGTAAGTAGCCTAAATTACTCCTTATTACATCAGCTACCTGCCAATAGAAGTCCCATCAAAATCGGTTGAGCCATTTCAGAGATTAGCCGAAACAAACAGACAGACAAAAATTATAAAAAATGTTAGTTTGGTGTATGTGCCGTATTTAAATTCATATGCATGTAGTAAAAAGCGGTTATTTCAATATTACAAACAGACATTCCAATTTATTTATATTATGTATAGATGGCGACATAATACTATTCCAACTCTTTGTATTTAATAAACATAATAATATATAGTACATCTTTGCAATGGCCCCTGAGTCGTTATCAGCCGTCCTTATCAATACATCGCTGATTCACACAACGTAAATATACTGATTATTAATTTCTGAAGTCCTTCAAGTCACTCGTCATCAATAATCATGTATTAAATAGATTATTGATAAAATTGTTCCGTTGTACGTGTGATCTGTTGGAATTAAACAATTATTTTCATGGATGGAACAGATTTTTGAAGCTATATACTTAGTCTGGCCATAAATACTGTTACAACTAAAAATAAACAAAATTTTACATTTGAATTTGGAATCTGTCATTTTTATATGGTTGCTCATTGAGTTTTCGCATTTTGGCGCCAATACATTGTACAATATTTTGCGATATTAAAATGGAGTGGGGTGATAAAGAGAACCAATCGCTGTGATTGCATTACACAATGTAGGTATTTTTTTTATGATTGATGGAGTACTGGTGGCCCGGAGGCCTTTCCAGTTTCACCAGGACAGGTGGGCGAGCAAAGGCTCAGCCAGGAGGGGTGGGATTTGCTAACAGCTACCCGAGCGCCTCCGAAGGAGACCTAACGGCTCAAGAGTAGCTGCTTCGCGAATGAATCTACTACCGGATCGGAATCGCGACCTGCTGAGAAGATCCGGCGAGAAACTCAGCGAGCTAATTCATGGGTTAGGTTGCACGGCGAACTCATTGTCGAGTTCGACGAGTACGGTTACCGAGGACCCTAAGCCTGCTCCTAGTGTTAGAGCTGAAGGCGTCTAATGCAAAGGTTATTGGATCTGATGGATCCGTAAGGACGTGTCTAGGGCGTCGACGGTGACTGGCACCTGCGTGATCAGGATTCGGGGAGTAGTCAGCGGCGGCAACGATAAGGCGATTATCATGACGCATAGCCTTATCGAAGTACCGTTCCGACGCTGACTTCATGTATTTCTGGATAGATTCGAGGCCCAGGTCGTCGTGTAGGTCAACGTTCCTCACGAACCACGGAGCTCCGACGGCTAACCTGCAAAAGCGGGATTGTAGAGATTGGAGGGTGTCTATGTGTGTGCGGGCCGCGTGAGCGAACACCACACTCGCGTAAGTCATGACGGGCCTTATGCAAGTTTTGTAAAGTGTCACCTTGTTCCGAAGGGACATTTTACTCCGCTTACAGATCATGGGGTAGAGTCTACCGAGAATAAACGCGGCACGGTCACGGACTGATTTTATATGCGGGCGGAATGTCATCGATGCATCCAGGGTAACGCCCAGGTACTTGACCTTCCTGGCCCAGGGTATGGGTTGTCTAAAGAGAGTAATCGGGGTTGACATAATGTAGGTATGGAGCCAAATGCAATTTTTAAAACTCTCCATACGCTTGGTATTAGTAAAATGCTTGTGTACCGTGATATTAATAGGTGCAATGAGACCTTCTCTGTTTGTGACAGAAAAAGATCTGGCCGTCCACGTAGTGTTCGTACGAAAAAGGTAAAAAAAGCAGTAAGGGAAAGAATTCGAAGAAATCCTGTCCGAAAGCAAAAGATTTATTATCTCGGGAGATGAATATAGCACCTAGAACCATGTCGCGTATTTTAAAAGATGACTTAGGACTTGCAGCTTATAAGAGACGTACTGGTCATTTCTTAACTGATAATTTAAAAGAGAATAGGGTGGTAAAATCGAAACAACTACTGAAGCGGTACGCAAAGGGAGGTTATAGAAAAATTTTGTTTACAGATGAGAATTTTTTTAGAATTGAGTAACATTTTAACAAACAACATGACCATATTTATGCTCAAAGCTCTAAGGAAGCTTCTCAGTTAGTCGACAGAGTGCAACGTGGGCACTATCCGACTTTAGTGATGGTTTGGTGGGGTATTAGCTATGAAGGAGTGACTGAGCCATACTTTTGTGAAAAAGGTATCAAAACATCGGCACAAGTTGAAAAGGTAGTGAAGCCCCTTAACAACACCATGTTCAATAATCAAGAATGGTCCTTCCAGCAAGACTTGGCGCCAGGTCATAAAGCTCGGTCTACGCAGTCTTGGTTGGAAACGAACGTTTCGGACTTCATCAGAGCTGAAGACTGGCCGTCCTCTAGTCCCGATCTTAATCCGCTAGATTATGATTTATGGTCAGTTTTAGAGAGTACGGCTTGCTCTAAACGCCATGATAATTTGGAGTTCCTAAAACAATCAGTACGATTGGCAGTGAAATATTTTCCCATGGAAAGAGTGCGTGCTTCTATTGATAATCGGCCTCAACGTTTAAAGGACTGTATTGCAGCCAATGGAGACCACTTCGAATAAGCTTTTTATACTTTAAATTGTTTTATATTTATGTATTAAACTAACACACTGTAAAAGTAATAAAATGTTATTTGCAATAGAATTTTTTTTTCCTTTGTCTCAGTATTTATGGCAAGACTAGGTATATTTGTGATTAATCACGGTGGCAAGGGCTTAGCTCTGCCCTGGCATTGCTGACGTCCATGGGCGATGTTAACCACTCACCAGCGATGGGTGGCGGTATGCTCGTCTGCCTTACAAGGACAATAAAAAAATCACGTGACCTCTTATTTGAAATCTGCTTCTTTCAATGCTAAAAGCGTGCTATTTTCGCGTTTTCAGATGTTTCACACCGAAGTCTCTTCACAACGCAAGGGCATTGGAACTTGACGCCAAATACTTTTCGTGTAAAATAGGAAAAGGCCGTGTTGGCGGCGTCGTAGCCGTGGTCACATTCTGCGTCATATTGGCTATTATAGCGCTTTGGATATTCATATACTTGCCGAGGTCACAAAGCAGAGGGAATGCCATAAGGCAGATCCATGTTTCTACAGCTGCGTACAGTATTCTGCCGGGAACTATGCCGATAGGAACCATTCCCATGCACGACTTCGGTAGTCGCTAATTTATCTAAATTGATTCTACTTTTGTGATTACGAAACATTATTTAAGCGTATGATGATATTCATCTGTGATTATGATAAATTAAATTCGTTGTGATTTAGTTGATAAATTATGATTATTTAAGATAAGATTCGGATGAGATTTTTTTCAATTTGCATCCATCTTAAAGTCGTCGTGATCTTATAGATGGCACGTCCTGTGCACTCGTGTCGATTGATGCGACTGTGCCGATTTTCGAATCCGGCACAGTCGCCAATTTTTGTAATGAAATATGTACGTACTTAACAAATGTTAACGAATGAATTCCCCTATGAAAATTTTATAAATCGCTAATACTGGCGGTAGGACGTCTTGTGAGTCCGCACGGGTAGGTACCACCACCCTGCCTATTTCTGCCGTAAAGCAGTAATGCATTTCGGTTTGAAAGGTGGGGTAGCCGTTGTACTGTAAAACTGAGTATTAGAACTCATGCCTAAATGTAGGTGGCGGCGTTTAGGCTGTTTTTTTCAATGGACTCCGTTAACCACTTAACACATGATGGATCGTAAGATCGTCCACCCATTTATACATTTAAAAAAATCACGTATTCGATACGGTCATCTTTACTGTAAATAAATATTGACCATTTGATATAGTAATTGTTTTTTTTCGGAGTAATTCAATATTAAAATAATAATGCCAATGCAAAAAAGATATCAACTGAGAGTTTCTCCTCGCAACATTTTTATATTAATAGATTCTTCAACTTGAAGACTTCAAGAATTTTTTTACATCAAACTACATAGTTACATTGTGTGGATAATTAAGTCTGTTGATTAAAATATTATTAAAGTTTTATGTATTATTAAATATTATTTAAGTGTTATTAATATTAATAAGGTTCTTTAGTATTTCAAAACCTATAAAATAAAAATAAAACAAAGAAAAATTCACTTCAAATTGTATATTATTTAAAAAATACAAATATTCATTACAAAATTGTGCATTATTTAGTCACTAGTGGCTGCGTTTTTGTGTTGGTCCGCTGGGGACCAAAACATTCCGCAACTGGCCTCTCTTGTCACATCACTACAGGGCAGCCAATGTATTATAACATCAGACGACAAGCTTTACTATAGTCCAATTGGCTGTTTTTTATTGATTACATTTATTTTTCTTCTGCAATAAACATAAAAAATGTCCCTAGAACAATTTTCTTTTCCTCATATCTCGTTTTTCTAAATCACTATAATTTCAAACGTACTGGATATATTTAAATGTTCCTTAACCAAAATTGTCTAAAATCACCGCTATTGTATTAAAAAAATGTTTAAGTTACCTTTAAACTCTCATAAAAATATTAAAAGAATGTTGTAATGTACATACACAAAAACGTGGCTACATAGATAAAAATTGTATTCAGATTGTAACAACATGTTATTTATTACCCAATATGACTACGTAATTAAAACTTATGACGATACGTTGTCTCTAAATAATAATCTACCACTTCTATATTTAACGAAGCGAACAGTCTTAGAGAAGGACACGGTTGATATAATCCACGTCCAAATATAATAATGATTCTTGCTCTTGCCACACAATGCTTTTAGATTATTTATCATGCACACTACTGTGATGTTTCTATTATAACAATGATTTAATACAAGACGCATATCTTAAGTCCGTGTAAACGCTTCAAAGTGTACAAATAAATTTCGATTATATATTAATATGCTTAAGTAATCTAGATTTATTCTGAAAAGATTATGAGCTGATTTTTAAATCTTCAGTGTGCTTAGTGCGAGTTTTTTAACGTTCTCGACAGCGTAAAAGTTAACTCAAATTTGTATGGAGTTGGAACGTTTGCCTACGTTTTCCGCTAGGGGCGCTGTCCCAACTCCATACAAATTAGAGTTAACTTTTACGCTATCGAGAACGTTCAAAACTCGCACTAAGTACGCAGATTAAGTGACTCAACATTAAAGCGAAAACATATAATTGTTTTATACATTACATTCATTAGTACATTAATGTCATTTCGAGTATTAATTAATATACTGCAATATTTATTTTTGAATTTTATTTTCCAAACAATTAAAATTCATGTTAATTGTTTATAAAATGTTTGTAGAATTTCCCTTAAAACTAGAAGCAGGCACAAGCGTTGATAAAAAACACCGAACAACATAGCTCGATAGCCAGGGACGCACTCTATGAAAAATATTCAAAAATTATCTATGAACTTTCTCATTAAAGTTTCTAAGGTACTTTAGCTCATAACTTAATTAACTACAGAGCAATGGGCTAAAATCTTTCGTGACTGTTACCATTAGATATATACGTGTACTCTCATTATACAAACGTGAATAAAACCTTTAATTACTCGACCAATTCGAAGACTAAGTTACGGCCCTGGCTTCAAATTTACCGTACTAAGGGTATTTCCACAATTATCAGTTTTCAATAAAAAAAACTTTACAAAGATTTTATCATTTTTTTACTAGTCACACATTTTTAAACTAATAATTTTCTACTTATATCCATTGATAGTTAAATCCATTGATCTAATAATGTTTTTCAAAATTAAAATCAAATCAATACCTACGTAATGACGTATTATTTAACATACTGGTGAGGTTTAAGTCAAAAAAAACTTTTGTTGTATTCTTCTAATCGAAAAATAATCCTTTTCTTATCTAATTCAAATCCATTAAGATCAAAATAAATGCGATATGACCCAAATTAAAAATCTACGGTTTGTTGAAAACAACTATGTTTTAATATCTAAATACACTATCGCATACTTCTCAAACGAAGTCTAATTATTAAATGCGAAATTAAACCTTTTAAAACATTAAAAAATTCTATCTACTCAGTAATCCTACATAACAAAAAAAATTGAACATTTTCACATAATCTCGTTTTCTCATAATCAATATGAAAACTTACCTAGCTAATTACTAAAGCTGAATATAAACTATCAAATACCTATCTTATAAAATGCCGGAACCTTAAGATATGTTAATAATATCATAATATAATAATAACTCAAACAGTCTTTGGTCATAATTGCGACGTACATAATACATATCTCTTCATAAAACTGTTTTTCCTAAACACATCAAAAATTTTATAATTTTAATCCCTAATAACATCGTTAGTGTCATTCTCGCGAACAAGTTTGAGAGATGTTATGAGATATTCAATTCGATGGCTATTTTATGATAAAGATGGAATAAACTTTATTTTCCACAGACTAAAGATTTTTCATCGAAGTGACGCCGCGTCTATACCTTTTATCGTAAGTAATCTACGTATTAAAAGCTACAGATAAAATGCAGTCTTGACAGGTGTCATGGTTGACACATATCATGGACGACGATACATAACGATGCAGAAGCACAGAATCGATACAATCGTCAAATTAACCTTAAAACTACCCTTAGTAACCTAAATTTCTGGCAACAAAAATTATTCAGTGTTACCCACTTAAAAATTCATTACTTGAGTATGATAAATTTCAGGCAATAAAATCCCCTAAATGAGCCTTCGATCCAGATCGCAGCATAAAAAGTCGCTTCATTCCGACTATTGCTGTAAAGTTTAGCTAACTTAGATATGTATTCAATAGAAAACATACATACTAATTAAAATAAAATACTTGATATTACCTAAAGTTGTCTACTCTAAGATATTTAATAAATCTAAAATTATATGACACTTAACGGACAATTATTTATCATAAATGCAATGTAGTCTTTTTTTTATTTAATTACAATTCCCTTATTGTTAAATACATGGAAATCGGGTATACTTTATATGAACATAATCCATCGTTAAAACACATTTACGATTTGATCTCTGCACATTCAACTATCTATTTCAGATGTTCGAATTACACACTACAGCCTGTGATTACAAATTAATACGTGAATGTGTTTGTAACTTTGAAAATGTTTTATTAATTAACAAGTTAAGCAAAGCAAACTTAATGAACAAGTTCCCATTTCAGTCAGCTGTAGTGCGGACTACGGTACAAACTAGGCTCAAAATATTTCATCCATAAAATATTCAATAAAATATGAAACTAATTAATTTCAATCATGTTTATTTGAGAGCGAAATAATTTGAAATGATTGAAATAGGAAACCATTTTTTTTTCTTTGCACAATTTTCAACCAAACAAAAACCAAAATAATCCCATAACTTCACAAATTACTCTGCTGAGATTCACAAAAATAAATAATAATAAAAATTGCACATAAAATATAGTTAAATAATTTACCTAAATACACTTCAATTTAATTAAAGCGAAAAACGATGTGTTCATTTATGCAAAAATAAAAGGCATAATTCAAAGTTGCCATCACTAAAAAAGTGAACACTGGGGTTTAAAAAAAAACATAGTAAATCAGAGCTGCCGGTATTATCGGCATATCGTATCTTTCAAATGATAAAACAATTTCCAACATCCAAAAAATAAGTTTGGGTCCATCTTTTGCAAAAAATTACAATTATAAGTGTATGGTTTAAATATGATAATTTAAAGCATGATTTCAAATAAAAAAATTAAAATACAAAATAAATCATTAACCTATTAAACATCAAAATCGATGACAATTTGATATTTTCAATTTTAGAAGACCTAATGAATTTCGGACTTTAGATTTGAAATCGTTTTGCTGAAGTGGGAGGTGGTAACATTTTGTACAGAATCAACTTTACTAAATTAACTATTTGCTTCATATAAGAATATACCTTCATAAAGGTATATGTTTAATTCTACTACTGTTTAAATCTTACTAGTGGGCTTTCAACAAATTAACTACTAATACCTAAATTATTCTAATAGCTGCCACTCGTCTAACCTAAGTCGAAGCAACATCAGGCACTTAACTTGTCAAGTTGTATAGAAAAACTTGTAGAGAGCTCATAAAATCGCTATTAAAGAAGGAATGTCTGGACAGTCTTTTTAATGAAATACTTTTGTAACTAATACAGAATTCTGAATACTAGATACTTTTATGTATTTAACGTGTGGAAAGCAGAAGTAAATAACACAGTCTCTGTGTATTAAAAAGTGTTCGTCGAATAACGACCAACTAGGGTGGCGCCACCGTAGCGTGTGGTGTGATTTCTAAGTAGCGTCAAAATTTATTATACCAAAATATTTTCAGCTTAACGCGCTTCACTCCGTTTATGACAGCAACATTCAAATCACACGCCACTGGCAACACCGGTGGCGCCTTTGGTGGGTTTTGAAATGCTAATTTGTTGCTTACGATTGGACTTTTTAATGTGTCCATCATAAAACATAATTCTCGTTATCTCTACTCTCCTAATTTGACGTAATTTCTCGACCTTTTGGCTAAGATCAAAATGTAGAAATAAATGTAGGTATAATTTCAGCTGCATTTAACTAATGTCAAAATGACATTGACAATCACTCAGAGCATGTCATGTGCCTGAAAGGCCAAGACATCGAGCGTCATACCAGCCTCAGCCCGTCTCTAGCGTCGTACTCCTCCTGTCAAACTGACGTCTCCGAATTGAGCCTCAGCACGAACCTGTTGCTCTTCGGGTCAACGACTTCCTCAGACAAGCTGAATTTAGGTAGCTGTTTTATAGAACATATTAATGAAACGTCACCTTGACGGAGTTGGAAGTCGATGTTGTGGGCAAGAGGTCGCGCTAACAGCTCGTCGGAGATGAGCGACCAGCGCTGCAAAGGACGAGTCTCGTGGTCGGCAGCCAGGACCGGGCCTTCCACTAGGAATGGCTCGAGGAAAGCACGAGGTGACGCATCCTGGGATAAGCAGCGAGCTAGATGGGCTAAGACCTGTGGATTTGAAACTTGTTGATTGACATGAAAACACTGAAAATTATTAGAAAGCTTGTTGGAAAAACTTAACATTAACATGCTGTGGTGCTATTCAGAGGCCGTTACCGATTTAATTTAAATAATTATGTACCAATCACATGTAATTTCAAGGACCGCGCGCGGTGATATAATGCAAATAAAATTACTCTCATTTGGCATGAGTTAGTGTTATCTTGCCAATTATTACAATTGCCAGTTATCCAATAAGATGTATTTAAAAAATATAGTATGTACTAACCGAGTCAGCAGTGTGTCTGGGCTGTTGCCTGGTGGCCCGGAGATACTTCTGCAGTGCCCGAGCTAGGGAAGGAAATACGGCCTGTGCAGCCTCGCGGGGACCCAGCGCTCCCCCTGAGAACATATCATCCGTCCATATTATTATCAGTGTTATGGCTGTGGCTCTTCCACCTCCACTCCACTTTCGCTTGAAACCCAGTGGTGAAGTTTATTTTGAAATTAAAATAAGACTGTTCAATGACATCTGAATTGAAATAAATTATTTGGAATTTGAGTTCGAAACCTTGGACACGCTGATATTTCAAAATGGAGAATTCTATATAGAGAATGGATGGAGAAACATTAGAAGGGGCTCGGTGTCCATAAAATTGAATATGAAGTTAATAATTAGCCTACAACAGTTTTGGCTAGCATTTTATAAAACCTATACTCACCATTGGCAGCAGACAATCTGACTCTTCGGACGTGTGCAAAAGCATCATCCGCAGCCGCCAACAATCTGGCACGTCGCTTCCTGACTCGTCTCTCTCGTTCTGCCTCTTCATGGTAGCGCTCGTTGTGCGCGGAGACCGACTCCCGACGCCGACCACTCCCGCTTCCGGCACAAGAACCGGCTGTCGATCTGTAATTTAGGGACACTAGTTTAATTTACCAGATAAGCAGACATGTCCCATGGTTTAGCCAGTGTTAAATTTGCAACTCAAAAATAATTCATTTCAATATTAGTTTTTTCAGGAATCAAGAGTTGCTTGTTGTACTCTCTCATCCATATTCCTCTCATACATTCAAATTTTAAATGAATTGATATGTAAAATAACAAACCATTCATTGACTTTAGTGACTTCAGATACTTTTATGGGCTCCAGTAATTGCTAAAATAATGATGACGAACTTGTCAGTCAATAAATTTACAACAAGTGATTTTATTAATAATACAAACCTTGTTTGTCCTGCCGCATTTGTGTTAGATCCATCGACATCATAAAATTTAATACTGGATTGTGCCTTTCTCTGACTCTTCGATATTGGTATCTTCTCCAGATATGGGTTATATATCGGAAACTCGGTATAATACCTCTGTAATACCCATACGGCAGCTCTTTGGATGCTTAATTGGCCTATTGCATATGATCTACTCTCTCCATCAGGACTTCTGACAATTTTAATATAATAATTCGGCTCTAAATGTCTTATTTCTATCAAGATTACTGCTACATAATGTATGAAAAGTAATGTATCTGCAAAACTCGATACATATGTAACAAGAGCTTTGTAATCTGTTGCATCTTCTCCTAATGCTATTGCTTTCGTTGCCTCCGTTATCTGAACAATGTAGAAGAGCCAGTAAGAAAATGTGCATACTGCTATCATCACTAGAGTTACAGCTCGAAAAACGAATATTCTTGGTAAAATGGCATTCCGTGGCCTAAGGAATGCTGCCCATACTCCTATAGCTAATAATACAAGTTTAAATGCCAGTGACAAAAGAACACCTTTGCATTCCGCTGTGCAGGCTAGCAACTCCATTTGTTGACTGGGTTGCAAGATGTTATCACTCAATCCCGGAAAGAAACCTATTTTTGGTAAAACTACCATTGTTAGTGGACTGATGAAGGCCACAAATGTCAATCCCAAAGCCAAAGTTGTCCCAAAGTATCTTGAGCAGACAAAACCTAATCCACCATCTGACTCCATAGCCCAATTACTGACATCTTCCATAGATTGAGAACCTTCAGATGTGTTGCCAGTTACAGCAGTTGTATTTTCTCCCCAGTTCTCATCTTGTGGGAGAATCTGAACTTCTATTACCTCCTGGCCATCTCTACCTGTTTCAGGGTTTATGTTGATACTTGTTTGAAATGGTGCCATTATGTTGTCACCGCTTTCTTTCCGTTGTGATTTTGTACTCCTAAAAAGATGAGCAATTTATTTCTATGCACATATTTTTGATATATTATGATTAATTTAACTTCAGTAATATTTAATGCATCGAAATGTCGGGATGCAATATATATTTTTAACAGAGATGGGCAACAAAGCTAACAGATCATTTGTTTGATATTTCCCCTTAGACAATGGAGCTTACAATGAAAATGTAAGTACCTACTTTGAAACAAAGCTTCATGCAGTGATTTAGTTTTTTTTATGATTTTTCAATAGTGGTTCCATCATTTGTTAACGGACTTCAGACAGTTTTAGTAAATATTAACACTGAATGACTACAATAAGTTTACAAATAGTAAGTTTTGTAAGATAATGTGTGTGTATTTATATATTAGGAGAGACCTAGTTTAGTTTTTGTTAAGTTTCTGGGATAAAATTAAATTGAAACGTTAATTTCTAAATTAATTTCTAAATAATGTAATGTCTACATGCTGAAAGACTCATTGACATTTAAACTTTTTTCTACCATGGTCTAGTGGTTACCATCGCTCATTGAGATCGGTAATAACAAGAATACAGTCTATATACAGGTGACCATCAAGTTTGCTTTTCATCAATACCATTCACAATAAAAGTGAGAAGACATATACCTAGCATAATTAAATTGAAAGATATAATTATAAATTCACCTGGTGCTTCGGTGCGTGTTGTGCCTATGTCTGGAGCTGCGCCGGGATCGGCTGCTCAACTCGGACCTCACCGATTCTGTCTCCATGTCTCAAACAGCAGTTTGTATTTCATTCCCTTATCCATTACTCATTATATATCTTAACTCGAAGACCCATTACAGACAAATTCCAGCTTATAATTAATAGGTTTTAACTTTAACACGGAACCGTGCCCACAAATAGTTTTCAGTACATATTAAAATTCAAGCATTTTATATATTTTATTTATTAAATGAGGAATAGCGAACTTATTTAATAAATCCAACACTACAAAAACTATGTTTACATTGCAATGAATTTACTAAAATTAAAAAAAAAACCTACAAAATTACTTTCTGTGTTCCAGTCAGAGATTTTTGCCGTTCGAAGCTACGAAATTAAAAGAGTAGGTATCGTGTTTGAAATTGCGGTCGGGCTATTCCATGTTAACACTAATATTTTCTGACATCTATCTCTTTTATTCATAACCTCTGTAAGACTTTTAAACATAGCCGTATATTTTTTGTCAGTGCATTCGAAAACCAATATTTGCACTTAATTATAATTGAAATGTTTATTACTTTTTCTCTTCAAGTCAATAAATTTAATTTAGTTTGAATCAAATTTATCACATTTGCATGTAAAATTAGTTATACCTTTCGATTTTTTAATAAGTACAGAGCCTTACTGATCGATAATATTTTTTATGAGCCTTAGGCATTTATTTTATTGTGATATTTTGGCGCTGATTTCAAAAATGTAGCACAGGTGATTACGCAAAATGATAAATGATAAGATAACGAACCCATACCTTATAGATAACTCATTGACTACTTACTCACTAGTTTGAACATGAAGTTTTTGTTTGTACACATTTAGAAAAATGGAAAATCCAACTCTTACCGACGCCAGACAGACCGACAGGGTCGAAAACCGGACAGAAGATTTACATCTGGACAGGGTTGTCGCTTCACAGCCAGAAATTGGACCAACGCCACCTGACGGTGGTTACGGTTGGTTGATAGTTGTATCTGCGGTGATTTACCACATAACAGTGCCTGCAGTGTTAACATTGTACGGATTAATCATATTGAAGGCGATCAGAGAAGAGGGCCATGAAAAAGAAGAATTGTTGAAAATATGGGACGTAGACATAGCTCTCGTACCAGTAATTATGGTTGTCATAAGGTTACTCTTGGAGTCATGGTGTCGAGCGATCGTGAAGATATTCAACATGCCGAGGTTCATGGCGCTTGCCGGCTTATGCCTGACGGTAGCCGGCATTCTGCTCTCTAGCTACTCCACTGATGCCACAACCAATGACCACATTGTGAATATATTCTCTGGCATATTCGCAGGTAAATAACAGATGCAAAATATTATATTCATGCTATATAGACAAATTAAAATAGATATAGAATTATGACAGATGAATTATCAATATAAATAATGATTGTTGCATATTACGAGATTTATAGGTCTGACGTAAATGTTATACGCTAGTAAAATAGCACTAGGTCAGTAAAGTCTAGTGTAAATAAGTCGGGACTCATTCATTTTAGTCGGAATTCGCATCATTGTTCTTAATAATAATTATAACACATCAGAAAAAACTCAACTGTTATTTGAAAACATACTACGAATCTTTTGTACGATTAATAGTCATATTTAAACAGGTGCGGAAAGCATTTGCGAGATCTACAAACGACTGTAAATTGTTATTCGTGTGCTTTCAGGTATCGGCTGCGCATTAACGGGTCAGCAAACAGAGGTCATCATAACACACTTCTTCAGGGAAAAACTGACCATGGCTCAGAGGATAGTCCGGATGGCTCCTTCAGTAGGAAATTGCTTGATACCAATACTAGTCGGCTATCTTTGCACGGTATACACTGGCGACATTGTAGTCATGATCTACGGTGCTATTGTGATGCAAAACTGTCTGTTTTTGGCCTCATACACTCGTCCTATTTACATCGAGAAAGTTATCCGACACACTTACAATATGCTAAGAGAGGCAGTTGAAGACGAAGATGAAGTTATATTTTCTAATCAAGCTCGTGTTTCGAATGAGAGGCAACAGTCAAGACAAACGAATAACAGTTCGATTAATAACGAGCCATTACCTAGCAATGNTGTGATGCAAAACTGTCTGTTTTTGGCCTCATACACTCGTCCTATTTACATCGAGAAAGTTATCCGACACACTTACAATATGCTAAGAGAGGCAGTTGAAGACGAAGATGAAGTTATATTTTCTAATCAAGCTCGTGTTTCGAATGAGAGGCAACAGTCAAGACAAACGAATAACAGTTCGATTAATAACGAGCCATTACCTAGCAATGCGCAAGAGGACGACGGTACAGATGTTGTTGTATTCAAATCAAATAAAAACGCTAAAGAAATCATCGATCCTGTCATCCAACATAGAGAAAATATTAATCAAGCACGATTTTCTTCAGATTTCACTAGCATGGTTGAAGGTGGCAATACGAATCGATTCTCTTCCGACTTTGGAAACTCGAACAGGTTCTCAAGTAACTTTGGATCACTAGAGATAGGTGATTACGAAAGAGTAACCGGTTACCAAGAACTGGCCAGTATTGAAAACGACAGTCAGAATCCACAACCACTTTATAGGGAGACTACAGTTGAAGCAGTTCAGAATAACTTGGTTTTTGCTGTGGAAATGACCCCTGGGACGGCTAGAAGAACTGCCTCAATGAAAAAGAACTTTATAACTATCACGAACATGTTACTCGATGTGAACTTTTATTTATACGCCTTACTGCATTTGTGTACTACGTTCTCTATCATGATTTTGGGCGTCGTATTCCCGCCGTTGATATGGGAACAAAATCCGAACATGAATATTTGGTCGGTAAGTGTTTTTTTAGCTAATAAGCCGTGGCGATCTTGCACTCCCACCACCATCCGATACGGTCAAAGATCGTACACCCCACACGGTTAAAAGTTTTTACTGGTTTTACATGAGCATTCATGGAATCTATCCTATCCACTTGAAGACGTGACATCAAAGTTCCTATATTTTTTAATAATTTTGTGTGGGAAAAAAAGTACGGATGCTATCATCTTGTCCCCTAGGAAGTCTTCTCCTTTGGGCTACCGACTTCCTCGGCAACATATGAAAGGCTGTAATGTCATCTGGTAAGCCAGCTCTACACCGAAGAATGTCTATAAAACCTATTACAAAGAATTCCCCTTTGTTTGATCCGTAGTTTAGCACGCAATGTCTTATCGTTGCACCAACTACTCAACTGTTGTTTAGTTTAGCGCAGTATTTGACGATCTAACTGAGTCATTGTTTTCACGTTAAGGCCTTGCTAGGTTAAGTATCACGTTACAGGAGCAGGCATAATGGTTATTATAGATCTGCTTTATCAAGAAAATGGTACTTATTAATATTTTAAAGTACCGGTAGCGATATTGGTTTGTTTTCATTGCCGAATTAATTACGCATACTACTGTGCAACATATTTCACCATTCACTATAAAACATTATATGTAGGTATATATCTACTTAGTTTGGCCATAAATACTGCTACAATTAAAAATTAAAAAAAATCTATTGCAAATAACATTTATTACTTTTACAGTGTGTTAGTTTAATACATAAATTTAAAACAATTTAAAGTATAAAAAGCTTAGGTATTCGAAGTGGTCTCCATTGGCTGCAATACAGTCCTTTAAACATTGAGGCCAGTTATCAATAGAAGCACGCACTCTTTCCATGGGAAAATTGCTCACTGCCAATCGTACGGATTGTTTTAGGGACTCCAAATTATCATGGCTTTTAGAACAAGCCGTACTCTCTAAAACTGACCATAAATCATTATCCAGCGGATTAAGACCGGGACTAGACGACGGCCAGTCTTCAGCTTTGATGAAGTCCGAAACGTTCGTTTCCAACCAAAACTGCGTAGACCGAGCTTTATGACCTGGCGCCGAGTCTTGCTGGAAGGACCATTCTTGATTATTGAACAAGTGTTGTTGAGGGGCTTCACTACCTTCTCAAGAATGGTATCTTGATACACTTGTGCCGATGTTTTGATACCTTTTTCACAAAAGTATGGCTCAGTCACTCCTTCATAGCTAATACCCCACCAAACCATCACTGAAGTTGGATAGCGCCCACGTTGCACTTTGTCGACTAATTGGGAAGCTTCCTTAGAGCTTTGAGCATAAATACGGTCATTTTGTTTGTTAAAATGTTGCTCAATTGTAAAGAAATTCTCATCCGTAAACAAAAAATTTCTATGACCTCCCTTTGCGTACCGCTTCAGTAGTTGTTTCGATTTTACCACCCTATTCTCTTTTAAATTATCAGTTAAGAAATGACTAGTACGTCTCTTATAGACTGCAAGTCCTAAGTCATCTTTTAAAATACGCGACATGGTTCTAGGTGCTATCTTCATCTCCCGAGATTAAATCTTTTGCTTTCGGACAGGATTTCTTCGAATTCTTTCCCTTACTGCTTTAACCACCTTTTTCGTACGAACACTACGTGGACGGCCAGATCTTTTTCTGTCACAAACAGAGGAAGTCTCATTGCACCTATTAATAGCCCGGTACACCAACATTTTACTAATACCAAGCGTAAGTATGGAGAGTTTTAAAAATTGCATTTGGCTCCATACCTATTTTGTGTAATGCAATCACAGCGATTCGGTTCTCTTTATCACCCCACTCCATTTTAACATCGCCAAATATTGTACAATGTATTGGCGCCAAAATGAGAAAACTCAATGAGCAATCATATAAAAATGACAGATTCCAAATTCAAATGTAATATTTTATTTATTTTTAATTGTAACAGTATTTATGGCCAGACTAAGTATATCCTCCTGCCTGAGGCTATTTCAGCTTCACCCTAACATCTAGGTCAGCTCACGGGGCTCAAACCGGAAGTGTTGCTAACACTGGCCCTAGCAAGAGCAGTGCTTCGCAGAATCTACCACCGAATCGGAAACGCGACCCACTGAGAAGATCCGGCGAGAATCTCAGTGGGCTGTGTCTATGCGTTAATTTATTCATCGAGCCCTTCGTCACAAGCGACGGGTTCGATGAGGATTGTGACAGGTGCTTGTGGTGCCTAAAAGCACCGTTAATGAATCGGGGGATCCATAATGACGTGTTTAAGGCGACATCGACTGTTTACCATTCGGTCTACAGGATAGGGTATGTAATTCCCGGCGGCTACGATAAGAGGGTTTTCATGTCGTGCCGCCTTTTCGAAGTGGCCATTTAGGCCACGACGACTATTTGAAACGCATAGTGTTTCAATAAATCGTCATTTTCTTGATAGGACCCTTTCCTTGATAGGTGTCAACGCTAATAGCTGCGGCACACGGATCAGCGCTGTGTTTCATAATGCTTTGCGTTGTGCTCCCGAAATCCATCAATGAAAAGGCGAGACTTTGTGCCGCATTTTGCGTTGCTGGAGCTGTAGGATTTTATGGTGAGTGCTAATACTTTTTATTGTTTGAATTACTTTTATTCTGCTTTTGAAAGCAAATAGGGATTGTTAGCTTGACATTTTGTGTGTACATGAAATTCTGAAAATCGAGAGGATCGCCCTTTACCCAGTTTTTACGAACTAACTCTAACAATTGAGGCTCAGATAAGAAGAATAATTTCAAATTTAAATTACTCAGCGGTTCCTGGGTTCAAGGGCGGATCCAGCTTTGGCGCCAGGAGGGGGTCACATAGTCAAATTTAGATGCGTTCGTTCCTAAACGTTTACCATTATACAAAGTTATTATATTATATTAAATTAATTAAATATTGAAGGTATGTAGTTACATAAAATCTGTATGGTGACAAAATATATAAATAAAATGATTATATTCAATTAGTGGTCCACCTAAGTCCTGGACCCAGCTCAGGGGGTGGTCATGACCCCCATGACCCTCCCCCTGGATCCGCCATTGCCTGGGTTGTTAATAAAATCAGATCTCTCTGGAATAAGATTACATGAACATAATAAGCGAAAGGCTTTCTGAAAAGATTCGAAGATCAGTAAACCTAAGAAACTCTCTGTTTAGGTCGGACTAAGTTTGGCCTTGCAAGGGATCCAATCTACACAAACTGTGGAAGGATGAATGATAGATGAACCACTTTTTTTTTTAATTGTCATTGTAGGCAGACGAGCATACGGCCCACTTGGTGGTGAGTGGTTATCGTCGCCCATGGACTTCAGCAATGCCAGGGGCAGAGCCAAAAGAGTAAAACATAGTGCATCAAAGACAGTATGATCACAGAGAGATCGAAAGTACTGTAAAAGTCCGGAACAACATTTAATCTGATATTAAAGCCAATGATTCCACTAAACCAATAGAATCGTACATAATATAATTTTAAATACTAATACCTGTATTATTCATTTCTAAATTACAGGTATTACACTATCCAATAGTAAAAGTCTACTAGTCGTTTGGTGCATGCTAGCTAGCTTCTCAACAGCCGCCTCGAGCATCCTCGAGCAGCCCCTGTACAACAGCACGCTCAATGACTTTGACACTACCGCGACGATGACAGCTTCCAACACGGTTGTCGCCATTTTCATTATGATTTGGTCATTATCGTTTAATTACGAATATAAAACATGTTTCTTAACAGCTAGTGTGCTTCAAACTGTGACCGCTTGTATGTTTTTCGCGTTATCTTTTAGAAGAAGAAGATAATATTGTGAGAATATAAAATAAAATAAAACTATTATTATTTATAAATTTCAATAGCGACTGAAAAAAAAAATAAGTAAGAAAATATTATATGTAGACGGCAAAAACGATAAAAAGATTATTACCTACTTAATTAAAAATTGGTTAAGCCTTTCACTATTAGCACTATCGTCTTCAATTTAATTAATGACTAATTTCATACTATTGGTTTCTACTAGGTACAGCCAAGTGACCAGCATATTCCTTTGCACTCAAAAATATAAACATATTGTCACATAAAATTACCAATGTATATTTATGTGAAATACCTTTGTAGTTAACTTAAATTGAAATTGAGCGCAGTCACTTTTGATAAAGGAAAGTTATCTATAACGGTTATTGTGCCGGACTTATTTCAAAATAACGTGATAAATGATCCAAGCAATAAGCAATAAGGGAAACAATAACCGTATATTTGAATCACGTTTATAAGAATTTATTATGTCGGTAAAACAGTGTAACTAATTAGGATTATTCATCCAATTATAAAACGTAGCGTATCTATTTGTAGTTAATGATGATGGATATCGCACTCGACTTGAGTATTAATGGTTTTGTACTAAAACTAAAACCGTATTGTTCATTATTTTTTTAAACAAAACCTTGGAAATACTAAATATGTGAATTTAATTAATATATTAAACTAATAATTATTTATAGATATTAATACTATTATTTTTAGTATAAAAACCGGAAAATGACCATTCCCGCGTTCTTTTTATATAAGTTTAGATTTAAGATTTATAATCGACAATTAAAAGGGGTTGAAATATTATTAATTTAAATGAAAAATGTAACCCTACAATATTTCTTTATAATCTGTAAAAAAAAAGTATAGCTTTTTAACATTTTTATAAATAAAAATTATGTTTCGCTTATTATATTAAGTATTTTTAATACAATGTTTATCAATACACTTTAACGATTTTTCTGAAGGTTAATGATTCCTATGCCAAAAACCTATGATTTTATGATTTTTTAAATAAGTTCTTAAGAAATCTTCACGATTGACTTCCACGGTGAAGGAATAACATCGTGTAATAAAAATCAAACCCGCAAAATTACAATTCGCGTAATTACTGGTAGTAGAACGTGTTGTGAGTTCGCACGGGTAGGTACAACCACCCTGCCTATTTCTGCCGTGAAGCAGTAATGCGTTTCGGTTTCAAGATGGGTGACGGCATTTACGTAGTAGATGTGCTCCAGTAACCACTTAACATCAGGTGGACTGTGAACCCATAGAAGCAATAAAATAAAAAAGAAGCTGGTCCTTTGAATACAAACATGTGCAATCGATTCCAACTATGGCGCCAAAGGTCTCCTGCCGAACTGTATCCGCAGCGCAGGTAACTGACTCTTACACTACCTTCGTGTTAGATTTTTCGGGGTTTCATTCTAGTTATTACGGAAAAGGCTATAAATCTGCCAAAAAATGTGTTTTTTTTTCACCTTAAATTCCCGAACATATTTGAGCATATGGGTTGCGAGGCCATCCATGCCCTGCGATGATATCGAGTAAAGCATTATTTTACATTTCTTGTGCTCTCCTGTTTTTTAATACATTCGAGGGGTGAATGTCTATTTGGTTTAAGCGACATTTTTGCAACTTTACAGGACAGTCATTAACACTTCTTCAACTATTTGAATGGGGGTAAACTTAATTAAAGTTCAATTAAAAGCATCGAATTGTTTATATTAGTACCAAATAAATGACATCTTTAATTACAAAGTGATACTACTACCAAATAAAACGGAGAACTTTTTTAATTACAAAGATAATTGTCGCGTATTAAGCGAAATGTCGCTTAAACCAAATAGTCTTTCACCCCTCGAATTTATATAAAATAAATTTCTGTAAATACCTCGAAGACAAATATGCCCTCAGCTATGGATGTTCAACAATAAGACTATTTAGCGTGTCAATTAAAAACAATTAAAATTCAATTAATTTATTTGAAATGTCATAAATCTTAAAGTAAAGATCACATTCTGATAGGCATTCATTAAAATTGTTTTTAGGAATTGACAGTTCAATTAAAGCAAAATAAGTACATTAATTAATATAATTAAAGTAGACGCTTTCTATTTTGACATGAGTAATATAACTCGAGCAAACTATACTATGCACCTAGCTACACTATTGTAACACTGTGCAACTTGCTAACTGTAAATTTCAATTATTTAATTGTTATACAAAGCCCTTATCATTAGCCTGTTTTTCATGTGGAATGTCTGAAATATATCATACATATATAGATTTTCTAAACTAAGCTAAATAACCTACATGTTATTAATATGGAACTGAACTTATCGACATTTGCGCGCCAAAAATTATAACCCTTTTTGGTGCGTTTGTAGCCATGGAATCAGCTGCTCCATGTCGGAGTGGGGCTCAGTATGCTTAATGCGAGTTATTTAACATTCGCAATAGCGTAAAAGTTAACTCAAATTTGTATGGAATTGGAACGTTTGCCAACGTTTGCCGCTATGGGCGCTGTTCCAACTGCATACAAATTAGATTTAACTTTTCTTAACTTAATTAACTTTTTCGCTACCGAGAACGTTAAATAACTCGCACTAAGCACATAGGGTCCTACGACGATGCGACTATTGAAATACAATTAAACGACAGACTGACAGCAGCTGATTGTGTCTACCTATGGGATTTAACCTATATCACTAAACTTAGGCCAACCAGACGAGATAATAAACGTAAACAAGCGGACCGTTACTGAGTTACATTGCGATAGCGAGGGATTATTATCTCTGTCCTTATCACTCGTACGCGCAGTTATGGCGTCAGTTGGTCGACAACAGCTGTCGTTGTGTGTTTCGTGGTACAGGAAAGCACTGAGTACCGCAGTTGTCAACATTTGGTCCGCCATTTTGTGAACAAGTTCATTCCTGTTTGGATTGCGTTCGAAGTGATACATATTTTTTCGTTTCCGTATTTACTTGGTTTGTTGTTGTTATTATTCCGTTTTTGTTAGTTTTATTTTTGATTTTTGCTGTTATTGTGAGTACTTAGTTGTTGATTTTAATTATGGAATCACAGCCTGGCGGCTCTAAAATGAATTCACCACGCAAAAAGCGTCAAAAGGTAAGTTAATTTATTAATTCATTTGTACTTGAACCACTACCATAATTTTGATTTTTAAAGTTCCGTACCAAAAAAGATTCTTTTTTATATAATAAGTAATAAGAAAATAGTCTAAAATTTACCATTCCTCACCATTTTTATTTTATTTACAGCGGACGTATTTTACATCGAATGAAAAAGGAATGGTCGTTAATGTGCACAAATACGTGAAGCAAACTTGGCCTACAGATGAATATCCGTACAAAACACGTATAATGGGGAAAACAGCGAGCATTTTGGGCATCGGTGTCGATGGCGAAATTGTGTGGATCATGTTATAAAAGTCGAGGACAATTTTTATAGCAATATTGACAACATGATTGATAATACAATAGATAGTTTTATCATAAACACAGTTGACTCGGACTCTTCCGACGAATCATCTTTGTCTAGTGCAGATGACAGCGATTAAAATTCGAACTTTGTAATAATTTATTTAAATAAAAATGTTTTTTACTCCTGAAACTTTGTTGACATTTTTTATCTCGTCTGGTTGGCCTTACTTTAGTGGCAATCATTTTTTTATTGCTCAGACGGGAATACGAGCTCACGGCTAGAGACTGACTTCCAACTTCAAAGTATCAGTTCTATAGTACAACGGCTGCCTCTACACATGCGGGCTCACAAGACGACCTACCACTAGTAATTACTCAAATCATTACTTTTGTGATTGGTATGGTTTATGTGTCCGTATCAGCGGAAAACTCTCACTCAGAATAAAAAAGGAGAAAATGACGCTAGGCATTAGACGATACTAATTATACCCAAATTACGATTTCATGTTAAACTTAAATCGGCGCGCGAATATAGTTGACTGATGTCAGGTGACGCATGCGTTCGGGACTTCCGATTGCGCCCGATTACGCCCGAGTGCGACCTGATATGCCAGTGTTGCACGCTGCACTTTAGATACAACGCGTCGGATATTGAGGCAAAGAAATTTTGAACAAAAATAAAAACGTTCTGGTTTCTTTCATATTTTCATATTTTCTGACAACTAAAAAAAAATTAGTATTAATTGACAGCCTTTAAAAGAGATAAAATCAAAGCATACAATGACTATCTACCGAGAAGAAAATACTGTTGCGTCATAGTATTTATTTATTACGACCTTATTATTGTTTTATCTTTGCACGGACAAAACTAAAAAAGAACCGCGACCCCAACAATTTGTACTACGACAGTGTATACATAACTAAATATCGATATTGACCGATTTCAATGTTATTAATATCAATAAAGTACTATAGAGATGTAGATTAGTTTTCCTCGAAAATATATAACAGATAAGTACCCATTATCTTCTCTGCTTGTCAACCGATTTTCTTTGGTAGCTATTAACGAACTTTGTTAAAATAATATAAAATTGAAAGCAGTTTTTTTTTCGAGCTTGAAAAGTGACGATGTAATTAGTGTATTAAATGAATACTGAGTAGGTAATAAGTAATAAATAAAAACACTAAGGCTTGAATTGTCAGATCGAATGCTATAATTGGGCGTCACTAGCGCTCAGAAATACGCTGAATTATTATTTGGCCGATTCAAACCTTTTTTTATTTACGAAATACTTTGAGCTGTTGTTTTGGTAACAGCGTCTGAGTTCGAAAATTTTGATTCGAAATTAATAAACAGAAAACACAAAAATCTTAATAATTTACATAATAATATATTATACGTAATATTCCAGGTTATCTCTGCGTTTCATATATATTTATAAACATTTTTATTTATATTAACTCAACAAATCCATCATTTCGTTGTCGGCCATTTTTTTATTATTATTCGTGCTCTGGTCGGGGAGGAGCGACTCGAAGGCCGACCAGTCCTGTCTCGTGTTTGTGTGAGGGTTCTGGTTGTTCACCCATTTGTTGTTGAAATTGGAGTTCGGCGTCGCGGGCCAGCCAGCGCCGGGCGGCGCCCCCGTACCCGGCGCGCCACCCATGCCCTGGGCGTGGTTTAGCACGAGTGTGCTGTGAGCCATGGTGCTGATCATACTGCTGTGGTAATTGGGGGCGAAGTGACTGCCGGGCGTGGCGGCAGGTCGAGACTGCTGAGTGGATAGCTGCGTGAGGTTAGACTGTAAGAGGGACGACGTGAGGTCGAGAGGTTTGGGAGGAGACGACTTAGGAGGCGCCCTGATCGGAGCCGGCTGATGCTGGTTTGCAAACTGCCGGACAGATTCTTGTGCTTGAGCTATCCTGGAAGTTTAAATGAGATTTGATTAGACACAACACTTGGCGCTCCAGACCACAGTGCCATCAACATTTGCAGCTGGTGCGCGAGTTGTTTCAAGTAATCGATCTCTTTTGTACAACTAGCGATAGTCCCAGGGGAACGGTAGCCCGGCGTGTGGTGGCGCTAACCACTTGACCGACGAGTACCAGCACCGGCCTGAGACTGGCTAATAGCCTCCACAAGTTTCCAAGCTGGGTTCGGTTGGGAATTGTATCCATAAGCCTAGTGACCCCCATTCGGAAATCATAATTATATCGTCTCGCTGCTCGAGCCCCTACAGTACTGGGAGACGAACCAGCAGAATTGTTTTTGCATTTTCAAATATTTTACAATTAATATGATTCGATGTATAGTGAAATAATATTGTCGTTCTATATCAGAAGGTTGCGTGTTCATATCACGTCGGAGTCACCAATGTGGAAGGTTTAACAACTGAAGGAATATCTTCCACCGAGTGGGTGATATTCGGTAGACCGACGGTCGGTATGTTGTTGTTCGGGACTTGTATATATGCAAGCTTATTTTGAAAATATCGTAAGCAAGATTCAGGCATCTGTCAAATATCTTGTGTTCTGTGATGGCTAACGCCACATTCTACAGCGAAAATGAATGACTGGGAATCCAATATACCTGTCGGAATCACTAATCAGGACGAAAAACGCAGTCAATTAATGAACGATCCACAGCGGCTTGGCAGTGCTGAGATCCATGGCTGACGGTAACCACAAGCCGTCAGTAGCAATGAAAGACAGTAATCACACAAAAGTTTCGATGTAGATCAATACAATACAATGTCCCGACCTCTGTTTATCCTGGATGCTGAGGGAGCTCGCGTCCCTAGTGCCCAGCGGCGCCGCCCGCACGTCCGGCGCGGGGCTCGCCAGCGGGGAGGGGCCCAGGTCCGCCGAGAGGGCGTGCTCCATCACTCTGTTGTGTAAACATTTACATGATCGTACAACTTGACATAGTCCGCATAGGGAGATACCAAAGATCAGTCTATTTCTATCGCGTCAGCTATTACCGATTTGAAGGGTTGTAATAGCTAAGCCTACATGAGAAAGTACCAGCGCCCTGATAACTTATACGACAAAGCAGTAGTAAGTTCAAGTAAAGTCAGGTAAGCAATAACACGAGGTGAGCCCTGTGCTTATGCACCAATCTATGCAATACAAAACTAATATTATATCATTAGGCAGACGGCGTTAATGTCTTTGTCTATGTTACTCTGGTAAAGAAACCCGTTTCCGAGCAAAATTTATTTAATTGTACCATTTCAAAAAGTAAAACAGACTTTAGGCAGTTAGTTGGGTGGGGCTCCAGTATTGCTGAGTACTCCGGTACTTCGTTATCGTAAACGTAACGTAAAACATAAACGTAATCTATAGTACAACGAGTGACCTTCTATCGGGTAAAAGGTAAGATTGCCCGTCTTAAGAAAATGCAACAAATTATTAATATCTGACTCAAAGACCAAAAAAAAAACACAAAACAGGTTTTAATTTGGAATCAACGGTTAAATAGCGGAAATGTCAATTGCTGCAATTCGAATCTGGCCAATAATAACGATGTTTACAAATAGGAGGCCTTCAGCGCAAAAGTGGCCTAACTCACAATTCATATTCATGCTTATGTATTGAAATTTATTTAAAACATAATAAATTTTAATGCAAAATCGGCCTATGTCTAGTTTCAATCCATAGACAAAATATGACTTTGTAAGCATCATTTTAGCGCGTATTTTTTTGCTTACGAAGTTTTGTAAAGCTTAGGCCATTTTTGCACTGAAGGCCTCATATGACATGTTAGATCATCACTAGACTGTAGACAAAAGGAAGGTTACGTTGTGTGAGAGTATACTTGGAGAACATTCTTTGGGACACTCTGTAACTTAAGGGTCTTGAAGTATTTTTATTTACAAGTTACTTGATTCCTATTAATTATTCGGACTAATATAGGGTAAGATGTTTCATTGAAATTTTGTGTATGTACCTAAAGGAAGAAGGGGGAGGGAGAATAAGAAAATACAATGTCAGTGGCAAATAAAAGCCAATACCACTTTTTTTCTAGGAATTTTTTTACTATTTATTGTTAAAATTAAAATATGATATGACATTTGAAAACATAATTAATGTACTTATGTTATAAAGTGTCAATTCCTAAAGCAAGATAAATAATAAATTAAACTTACCTGGACTCGTTCTGTATAGAGTTGAGCTGTTCCAATTTAGCTCTATGCTCGCTCTCCACTTTGGCAATCATCTGTTTCACCAGTGTGACCAACGCATTGAACTGGGTCAGAGTCAAACCATTCTCAACGCATAGAGGTATGAGGAATGGCAACACTTTTGTGGCCAACACTTCCTTAGTTATCCCTAGTTTTTGATGACTTAAAGCTAATTTATATATACCTGAAAATTTTATATTAAAACTTTAATAAAAACTTTAATGGGTCAATGTATAATTTTAACACATTAGTCTCTAGTTCTCCCGTAGTGCAAAAAGACATAGTTTGGGTCTGATGATTGTGTGTAAAAATTGTGGTTAGTCAAGTCTATAATAAAAAAAATTTTTTTTATTATAGACTATTGATAGCAAAAACAATGCTATATCGTACCTAAAATGCCCATTAAGACAGCAGGTTCCCTCGAAGGTATTTGCGGCAAAAACGGTATTATCTCATCCAACACCAACCATTTGTCCAAATGCTCCAAGAGTTTGCCAATGCACAACAAGCTATTTACACGAACCGAAATAAAATTTGTGCTCATACACAATTTTTTTATACGTGGTAATAAAGCATTCTTCATAGCAGGATAATCAATCAATGAGGCAAACGTTGGTAAAACTGACAAACACAGCTCTTGTATCTGTTGAGCATCTGATTCCAAAGCTCTGTATAGCATTGGCAAGATATCCGTTTTGATTTCATCACCGGGTGTCAACTTCAGAAGCAATTCCATCTTTTGCATAAATATTAGAAGTATTTGGATGGGTTCTTGAACTACCATGACTGGTTTCAGAACCGGTAAGATGTGTTTCACAAATTCCTCTTTAGAACAGTTCTCAGCTATGAGTAATACGTTTGGTAGAACAAAGGGAACCATGGGAGGGTTCACAAATTCCTTGGTTAGACATGGCAAAATCCGGTATATACATATACGGTGTGGCATTTTCTGAATTATCTGTGGGAGACCTTTGTAGAACTGAGACTTTTGAAGGTTATCCCATTGGAATAAAGAATCTAGATAATTCAAAGTTTTCACACCCACGTCCTCAAAATAAGCGATCTGAAAAATATAATCGAATATTATTTTCACGAATTTGTTTCAAACTAAGAGAAACATGATTTTTAGCTTTCGTACTACTAGTTTTTGTGACGACAAGAGCTTAACTATGTTAGTAGAAACGGGTAATTAATCTCAAAGCTAATAATTTACCGGCTTCTACCGTATCTATCAAGTAACTAAGTTGGAAATAAAATGGAAACAAGTTGGAAATACATGAGTTTTGTTGAGATTTCATTTTATTACATTTCATTACCTTCAAAAATTGGTGTGGATCAGGTCGTAATTCTGGTGTCGAATTAAGCATCAACTTGACATATTCACGTAGACCTTCAGCTACACATGACAATCTGGACTGTGGTAAATTTCTGACTTCATTTACAAATTTTTTGAACTTCATATAATCCGTTCCAATATTACCTAAAGTTTGATGGCCTGTGCTATGCAGTACGTATATAACCATTCCAAGAGAAAATATATCACTTGCCGGTGAATGTGATGCTGATAATATATATTCTGGAGCTAAGTAGTCTAGTGAGGGCTGTGTGAGAGCATGCATAGCTTGACAATACTCATTAAAAGGCCAATATGGAGCCGCTCCTACTGAGTTTTGATTCGCAACACAAAAATCAAATCCAAATATTTTCCAAGCACCCTGCTGGTTAACTATTATTGACTCAGGGCACACATTTCTGTGTAGTAGCTTGACATCATTATGTAAGAACGCTAAGCCTTCTGCAATCTGCATCAATCCATATTTAATTTCAAGTTCAAAGAGTTTATAATTGGTTAAATGTCCAGGTATTGGTTGAGGCATATTTTCCGTGTAGCCTAGTATATTGGCTAAGCTCGCAAACACTGGTTCAGTGGCGAACGCTAAGCTCTCACGACTCTCTTCGAGGCTATGCTGTACAGTTAAGATCTGCGGATGTCGTAGTTTTGTTAGCTGTATTATACCCCTTTTAAGAGTCTCCAACATTATGTCTCTGTCGGCCTTCTGCCATCTGTCTAATTGCTTTTTCTCAAACACAAATATAGATGCTTCTTGTTTTGTTGACTTTTTGTATCCCTTGTATATTTTCCATAGTAGACCTGAAAATCAATTGGAAATATTTAGGTTATAGTTTTTTAGTGTCACAGGCTTTTGACGAAAAAAGGTACTTCATAAAGGCTCCACTGGATTCGATAATATAAGCTCCATTATGTACTTATTTATTGGTCTCACTAAATGTAATTTTAATACAATGTGTATTTTGTATTTTCTTAAATTTTCAGGACTCAATGACCTAATTAAAATTACTTTTATTGTTTAATCTCATGCTAATTAAATTAATATATCATAATTAATTACTGATTTAAATTATGATTAAAATAATCGAAAATTTTTGTGGTCACAAACATCTGAGGAAAATATTCTAAATGTTGGAATTAATAATATGATAATATTACATTTAATTAATCTAATTCTAATCTAATTAATTGTCAGTGAAAAGTAAATGAAACCAAGGAAATAATCACGGAGTATTTGGACACTAAAGCAATAAGCAGATAAATTTTTCTTATTTCAATACTAGTTTATACCATGTTCTAAGTCTGTACACATGTACCTAGCCTTCATTCCGGCAATGAACCAAAGGGAAACAGGAGTGACTGAAAATCAGCGCCGTACGATGACGATTTATCAACTTTGAACAGCATTAGCTAAGCCACCTCCTTTTGCTTTTTCTTTTTATTTTCTTTTATTTATATTTTATTTTATTTAGTGTGAAAGGTAATGATTTTATTATTATTTATTACTGTAACATTCAGTTTCCTACAATAAGTATCATAATAACACATAACATACAAAAGAATATTTAAAGGGCCTAATTATTTATTAAAAAAACTGAAAAAGCTCAACGCCCATCAGGCCTTACCAGGTACCAGAATCCATAGATTTATCAAGCATCAAAAGTCATCATGAATTTCTGCTTTTCAACAGACTCAAACAATCTGTTACAAAATGCCTTATGACCAGCAAAAGATGATCTGAACAAACAATTGTTCTTGTCGCTTCAGTAAATAAGTAAAGATTTCATACAAACACAATACCTTGATTCTATTAAGAAACCTTTCTGTTATTATAGTTTTTACTGAACTTTGATTTTTTATTATCTCATTGTTTCAAGTACAAATATATTGATGACGTTCGTTATGCGGCATTTTCTTAAATTTTCACAAGTCATAAATACAATTAAAACAACTTTTATCTATCATTTGAGACTATGACGATTGTATTTGAAACATCAGAAATAAAATAAAGACAATAAAAACACGAAATAGAACTGTAAAAGTAGTTTTAATTATAGTATTTATGGTATTGTACAAAACACTTTTTGAGTATAATCTATTCTTAATAAAGTATTTGCATTCATAGAATTATATTTGAATAATTAAAACAATTAAATGAGCATTGGTCCCACCGGAATGTGGTTACTGCACTGTTTAATGTTTAATCGTTTTTTTTTTACCCCTACCTAATTGTTGGTAGCTAAGGGCCTATTCCAATTACGCCCAGATTGGTAGATAAGCTCACAGGGCTCAGGCTCTCAGGCTTGAGAGAATTTAAAATCAATCAAATAATAGTATGAAGGCAATGACAGAACTATAATTTTTAAAACCATTACGTAAATTTATAAATTTATTAAATGTTCTACTAAGGCTATAATTTTTTTATTGCTATCCAAGGCAAAGGAGAGTACGGCTCATATATTATTGATCTAAAGTGGTCACCATCACTCATGGACATTGACAATCAGCCAAGCCTCTGCCTAATTTGGCCTGCTAATAATATGAATCATAACTGAATCTACCAAAGCTTCGTTTACATATATGAAACTATGATAATAAGAACAAAATAATGAATTTATTTACCTGGGCCAGCGCTCGCAATGAATTGTGTTGCTTCAAACTCTCTTGTTACAGGGTTTCCGGGTAAGACACCAGACAATTGTGACACGGTATTGCTGACCGATGAATAAAATTTATTGAAAACATCCATTTCGAAATATTATTGTTTTAATTAACTAATAGAAAAAGGTAATAGATTTTAATCAGCAATTCATCACAGACCGAACCCACATATGTCACTGTCATATTGTTTTTTTTTAAACAACCTTTAAATCTGCAAAAGGAATAAAACTCATACGGCAGCCTTTAAAACTTGAAAAAAAAAACAAATATTTTAAATAGAGTTGAGACAAACAGCGTTTTTTTTTTTTTTTGAAAAGCTAATAACGTAATTGATACTTTTATGACTGCTATATTTTTAAACAGCACTCTACGAATAAATAATAAGTCAGGAAATGTAACTGCGCTCTAAAAATGACCCAACAAAAGTCATGTCCAAGTAGGCGAGGCTTAAAAGTCGTGTCCAACGCGTCATTACTTGGATATTGTTATTGAAAGGGAGCACATCTCCTATTTTTATTTATTATTGTGTTGTCAATAATCATGCCAGCGTGTCTTGTGAAAAGATGCAGGAACCATACAAGGCTAAAATGGCCAGGGATCACTTTTCACTAGTAAGTAGTAGTAAAATTATAATTATATTTAATGATTTGCAAAAATGTTAATAAACCGAGATGGTTAACACTATGCAACATGAAGTCAGTAAATTTTTGATTGTATTTTTTTCTTCTCGGTGAAGTATTGAAAAGTATATTGATAAAATATTTTTTATTATAAAATAGGTATATTTAATTTGATAATTTTATAACGATAATGGATTTTGCTTAATTTGTTTTCTTTTAGTTTTCCTGCCGATGGAGTTCTGCAAAAGAAGTGGATAGCTGCAGTTAAGTTAAAAAGACAGGAATATAACTGGATGCCTGTGGAAACCAGCAGAGTATGCTCTATTCACGCTATCAAACATACTGGACGCTAGCTTTCAATTGCCAGAAACAGTGGAGCAAATTGTAGGCTATATAGCCGGCTTTGCGAAAATCAACTTGGGGTTTGGTGGTTGGGGTTTGGTGGTTGGGGGTTGGTGCTTCCCGCTTCCGTAGGTTTAACCCGCGTTTCCCTACAAGTGACTCCTGGGTGGTGCTAAACGGGAGCCAAAAACAAACTCGGTGGTAGGACGTAGTCCGACTGGCTGGCGACCACCCTCCAACTAAAGTCCACCGCCAAATAGCCTAGCAGTTCTATTCCTTTCCTTTCCCCTTCCTTGTTGGGGGTGAGTCTTTGTGATGCCTGGAACATGCGGAGTAGAAGTGCGTGCGCAACCCGTGGTCGAGCACGTACTATGTTCCGCGCTTCATTCAGGTGTTGCCTCGATCGCACCTCCAACATCCTACCTCTCCTAATCCTACTCTCCGGAAATATAATAACTTAATTAATGAAGTCGAAAAAAAAGAAAAAGGTTTTACAGGCGGTTCCCCATTCCACATTTAATGTGGATTTCAGCAATGTCAGGGGCCTACATAGCAACCTTGACGCTGTACACCACCACCTTGGGACGGCGTAGCCTGCCCTGCTTTTTTTAACGGAGACGCAGATAACTGCTCTGGACGATACCTCATACCTTGAATACTCCGGCTACGTATTGGAGCACAACTTCCTGCGTAAAGCTGGGGTGTGCGTATTCGTCCGGGCTGATGTCTGTTGTCACCGTCTTCGGGGCCTCGAACAACGGGACCTGTCCCTCTTGTGGCTGCGCGTAAATCACGGGGGTTGTATCCGAATCTACACGTGCCTGTACAGGTCCCACAGCAGAGATGCAGGTTCGGCTCTGAGCATGTGCAAGAGGGGATTAACCGCGTGCTTGAGCAGTACCCATCTGCGGAGGTGGTGGTTCTTGGAGACTTTAACGCTCACCACCAAGAGTGGTTGGGGTCCAGAACCACTGACCTCCCGGGTCGGACTGCCTACGATTTCACCTTGGCCTATGGCTTCTCCCAGCTGGTGTCACAGCCCACCCGTGTCCCAGATATCGAGGGGCGCGAACCTTCTCTGTTGGACCTTCTGCTGGCCACCGATCCGGCCGGATACAGTGTGGTGGTCGACACTCCACTGGGATCGTCTGATCACTGCCTTATCCGTGCTGAGATACCAATCTCTCGTCCTGGTCGTCGAACGACGACCGGGTATCGAAGAGTTTGGCGGTATATGTCAGCAGATTGGGATGGATTGTGTGAATTTTACGCATCCCACCCATGGGGGCGGCTCTGCTTTTCCTATGGTGATCCTGACGTCTGTGCGGACCGACTTAAAAACGTGGTGCTTCGGGGGATGGAATTGTTCATTCCTTCTTCCAAGGTGCCCGTCGGGGGTCGGAGTGGACCCTGGTATAACAATGCCAGTCGGGACGCTGCACGCCTCAAGCGGTCCGCATACGCGGCATGGAATGATGCTAGGAGACGTCGGGATCCTATTACCTCAGAGGAAAGGCGGAAATTTAACGCCGCTTCTAGGTCCTATAAGAGGGCTATTGCCAAAGCGAAGTCAGAGCACGTTGCCAGAATTGGCGAGCGACTGAAGAGCTATCCCGCCGGGAGCCATGCTTTCTGGTCACTCGCTAAGGCTGCAGGAGGTAACTTCTGCAGGTCTAGTCTCCCACCACTACGCAAGTCCGATGACAGTCTGGCCCATAGTGCGAAAGAGAAGGCTGACCTTCTGGTCAAACTCTTCGCCTCGAACTCGACTATGGATGATGGGGGTGCCACACCACCGAACATCCCCCGGTGTGATAGTTCCCTGCCGGAGATCTGCTTTACACAGTGTACAGTCAGGCGGGAGCTCCGGGCCCTGGACGTTCATAAGTCGTGTGGGCCAGACTGCATTCCTGCAGTGGTTTTGAAAACGTGCGCCCCTGAGTTGACAGCTGCGCTAACGCGTTTGTATCGCCTCTTGTAAAGTACTAACAGGGTTCCGTCTTCATGGAAGACTGCCTATGTCCACCCTATCCCCAAGAAGGGTGACCGGTCGGACCCATCGAGCTATAGGCTTATCGCGATAACTTCCTTGCTTTCCAAGGTGATGGAGCGAATAATAAATACACAACTCCTGAAGTATCTTGAAGATCGCCAGCTGATCAGTGACCGACAGTACGGTTTTCGTCACGGTCGCTCAGCTGGCGATCTTCTTGTATACCTTACTCACAGGTGGGCTGAAGCCTTGGAGAGCAAGGGCGAGGCTTTCGCTGTGAGCCTTGATATCGCGAAGGCCTTCAACAGGGTCTGGCATAGGGCACTTCTGTCGAAGCTACCAGCTTACGGAATCCCCGAGGGGCTCTGCAAGTGGATCGCTAGCTTTTTGGATGGGCGGAGCGTCACGGTCGTTCTAGACGGTGAATGCTCTGATACCATGACCATTAACGCTGGCGTTCCACAAGGTCCGGTGCTCTCTCCTACGCTTTTCATCTTGTATATCAATGACATGATGTCTATTGATGGCATGCATTGCCATGCGGATGACAGCACGGGGGATGCGCGATATATCGGCCATCAGAGTCTCTCACGGAGCGTGGTGCAAGAAAGATGATCAAAACTTGTGTCTGAAGTAGAGTGCTCTCTGGGGCGAGCCTCCGAGTGGGGTGAATTGAATTTGGTTCAATTCAACCCGTTGAAGACACAGGTTTGCGCGTTCACTACGAAAAAGGACCCCTTTGTCATGGCGTCGCAATTCCAAGGAGTATCCCTATAGCCTTCCAAGAGGCTTTTGCTTTATAAAGCACAAGTCCGGCCTCGCTTGGAGTACTGCGCCCATCTCTGGGCCGGGGCTCCCAAATACCAGCTTCTTCCATTTGACTCCATACAGAGGAGGGCCGTTCGGATCGTCGATAATCCCATTCTCACGGATCGTTTGGAACCTCTGGGTCTGCGGAGGGATTTCGGTTCCTTCTGTATTCTGTACCATATGTTCCATGGGGAATGCTCTGAAGAATTGTTCAAGATGATACCGACATCTCGTTTTTACCATCGCACCGCCCTCCACCGGAGTAGAGTTCATCCATACTACTTGGAGCCACTATGTTCATCCACAGTGCGTTTCCAGAGATCTTTTTTGCCAGGTACCATCCGGCTATGGAATGAGCTCCCCTCCACGGTATTTCCCGAGCGCTATGACATGTCCTTCTTCAAACGAGGCTTGTGGAGAGTATTAAACGGTAGGCAGCGGCTTGGCTCTGCCCCTGGCATTGCTGACGGTAACCACTCACCATCAAGTGGGCCGTATGTTCGTCTGCCTATACGGCAATAAAAAAAAACTGTCCAGAATGCTTATCATTGCTACCTGCTAATGAAAAATTGTATTTTCACAATCTGATTAGTTTCAAAGATGGTGGACTCTCGTACTCATCTGTGGTGTTGTATAAAATATGCACATGCATAGAAACACCAATAAGACAGATAATGAAAATACGTGATAACAGAAAATCACTTACTCGAACAAGTATTCTGACAGTAATATCTACAGTGTTTTTCTAAAATAATTGACAATGAAGATATTGTGCGCTTACTGAAAAACAGTCACCAGACAAATAATGACCATTTCATTTTTATTATAAAACGTGTAATGGTTGAATTTCTCAGAATACGTCTTCCCTACATTGCGAAAAAAGATTCGTTTTTAAGATCTTCTAGGCAAAAACTTAATAAATTAAAAATATTTCGAGGGACATAGAGTTTATTACATAAAAAAAACAAGTATGTAAACATTATACAATTATACTGTTTTATTATTAACTTTTTTTTTTATTGCCTTTGTAGGCAGACGAGCATACGGCCCACCTGATGGTGAGTGGTTACCGTCGCCCATGGACTTCAGCAATGCCAAGGGCAGAGCCAAGCCGCTGCCTACCGCAACGATACTATGTAATAAAGCCCACTTATTACATAGCATCGTCTACGCTGTTATGACTCGCTGTCATATCAGACATTGCAGCAAGCGCATGAACCAATCCCTGCTTTTGTTTTGAAATCAAACCAATCGCAAATAATGTTTATTTCCAACCTCAGTTGTGATTGGTTTTTGTTTCATACGTCGCCGCGTCGCGTCGTTTTAGTTTCAAAAAGGGCCACTTTTTTTTGTGAAATTTGTTCCGAGTTAGACTTCCTGATTTTTTAT